TGGAGCCCAGATCTTAAAAAAAGAAAACTCTTAACTCATTAGTATTCTACTTCTCAGTTAACCTCTTCATTAAATCGCAATACTAATTTAAAAAATATACAGCAAAACATCCTACTTTCTATACCACATCAGTCTAATTTTTTTTCAAGTAAATGAGTAAGAAATCTCAAAACGCCAAAACCTCTCTTCAGAAATATTTTAACATTAAGTTAAATGAAAAACAAGGTTAAAAATGGTCTTGTAACTTTTATCAAAAAGCACATTAAATAAGCTCAGAACACCACTGCCCAGACACAGCTTTCAAAAGACTTTACCAATGTTGAAAGGCTGAAATTTAAACATCTCAGGGTTAACAAATAATGACTGTGACACAAACTTAAACATGTATTTTGGCCTTTGGCCAAGTCATAAAATTTCTGCATGAGGACATTTTTCTCATAACTGAAAAAATCTCCAGAAAATTACCAATGTACTTCCATTATTCATTTCTCAACTGGGAAGAACATGTATTAATTATATCAAAAACTAAATCTATGTCTTATACACACATCTACACGGATAGTGGTAATTACAGTTTCCAACAATTCATACCTGACTTTCGTTTTCTTTCTCTCGACCTTGATCGTGATCTTGAATAATGATGTTTTGAGGCTCTAGGAGAAATAGATACATCTGACTGCTCTTTTTTCTTATCTCTATCTGGGGATGTCTTTTCTGGGGCTAGTCCATCTCGCTCTGTATCACTAGCCTAAAAGTTTAAAGAGAAATGATTATTAAGTTCTTAATTACATTTAAAATGTTTCTAATTTCTTAAAAGAGAAAGAGGGAAGAGAATCATCCTGGAGTTTTACAAAATTTAAAAAAATCAATAAATGAGAATGGCCAATTTCTAAGTAGCTAATTATCTGTACCTGATCAGTCCAAATAAATTGAAATGACTAATTCAGTAACAAAGAGACATACGTAATTAGGCGGATGTCTTTAACTTTTAAAAATCATTATTTTCATAACTTTCAAAACAATGGGGGAAGGGGAAGAGTAGGGGTTCCAAGTATTTCCAATAAACATTCAAGCAGAGAAAATGCTGTCCATTTTAGATGTGCGAAGTCATTTACCTGACTTTACCAATACTTTTATTTTAAATTAGAATACATTAAAAAGGCATTTAAAACGAACTAGTAAAATTTAAAGAGACTTAAGTCTGTAAAATCTAAGAACAGCAGAGAATGCTTCTAGATTATAAAAGAATAAGCAAAATTAACTTACCTATCTGAGAACCCAATCTTAATTTCATCAACCCTCTTTAATGAAAACAGCCCCTTGGCACAGTGCTGCTGCAAAATATGGTCTGCCTCTCCTCACATATGCTCTGGGCTACGGAAACATTAAGTCGTTTCTGCTTTAAAGCATTTTATAAATCCTGACAATGCAAATTTTGTAAAAAATAATCAAGTATACACACTCTTTCCCAAGAGTCCTGATTTACTTAAAAGGAGGTTCCTTCATCTAAATAGCAGTTCCCTGTTTTCCCATTTACTTGCTCATAACTGAGTACTCAGCACAGCAATCAATCAACAATTGAAGAAATGAATTCCTGTTACTAGTTCTCAATTAAAAAAAAGAAGTATTTCTGTGGCTCTGTTGAACGGTGTGGCCCAAATTACAAACAGGAGTATCACACAAAGAAAGACACTGATTTAAATGAGTCATAGAAAAAAGCTTTGAGAAGCTAAAACCTGAATGTTCCCAAGTCAGATTTTGATAAAAGGTAGGGGAAACAATTTCAGTAGTATGTGGAAGGTAGACTACTTGGCCCTTGACTTAAGAAAGGTTTTCACATTTTTGAAAGGATTATTAAACAAGGAATGGGCCAGAGACTATATGTGATCCACAATGCCTAAAATATTTATTACCAGGCTGTTTACCAAAAAATCTGGATTGGATAAATAGGGATTTTCAGGAGGAATAATATGACAACAAACTCCTTCCCTTAAGAAAATCAGTCCAGAAAACAAATGCCAAGGGAACTATTTAGGGAGTAATTTAACAAATGAAGTGTGAGAGATTACATTACTTCAGAAACTATTTACTGAGAGTCACAAATGTGCAAAACTCAATGCTAGACTCAAAAAATAAATTGATTATAAAAGAAATTTACACACTTAGCTAGGGTGAAATACATAAATGTGTTAAACCTCTAACAATGGTAAAAAAACAAAATAAAACAATCAAGCACAAAGGAAGCAACTAATTACTGGAGAGACTCTCATGTGACCACACATTCCTTCTCCAGTTTTCTATGTATGGGTGATTTCTGGAATCATAAAATTTTTGTGATGAAAGCTTTCATCACAGAAACAAGTTCAACTTTCTGATCTTACAAAGGAGATCCAGCAACATTACCTGCCTCTCCCAGGATGGTACTCTAGCTCTTTGCTGTCTACTATCAAATAAATGATGCTGTATCACACACACAATTAAGGATAATTTAAGATTTTCACAACACCGGTCATTTTCTTTTAATTCTCGTTCTCATCATTATCACTATTATGTACTTCACATGTCTGTGATGTTGTGAAGTGCTGGTAGAGCTTACATTTGGTAAAATAAAATTACAAAACTGAAGCTCTGCTATCACTTCTCGCAGTGCATGCGACTTCTCTGCCAAAACCAGCATTCCTGAATCACTGGCACATCTCATTCACTTTTCCAGAGATCATGATGAGAACTGAAAAAAACCTTCCATGGAAAAAGCATCTAGACCAAGCAGTACAAGTTTTCAGTCAATGGTTTATTTACATGCTTAAAATCGCAGAAGCCTGGCATTAGGGAAGTCAAATGCCCTTTGCTTAAAGGCAGGCATCCTGCAATACAAGATAATAACTTACACCAAACAGCCATTTTCACCTGTAAAATCTACTGCAGAAAAAAAAAAAAAAAAGCATCCTATCACTAAACAGACTACAAGTGATAGGTGGCCACTTCTCCCATACAAAACTTTTATTTCCATGAGGCTATTTTATTGTGGTATAATGAAAAGTATCCAAAAAATCAATTGAATAAAATTTCTCTGAAAATTTGTGAGTTTTATTTCAATTTATCAAGGATGTACATACTACTAAGTCTTAAATGCTAACTGCAAAACTGTCTTCTACTCCAGCACCTGCTTTTTTAGGCCACCACTGTTAACATTTACATCCTGTTTAAAACGCTAATGATGCTCAAGACATAGTACACAAATCTTTTTCCAGTGCAAAGAAGGTACACTGGATTTAGTACTAGGCCACTTCTCCAGGGGACTGTGTCTTTTTATTGAAGGAGGCACTGAAGGACCAAACGTCTGAACTGACTTCATTTTTTAAAATATTTGAGCCCAAGTAAAACAGCGCTATTCTTTAAAGCACATTAGAAGGCCCCAAACACTATTTAAACAAAGGAAAACATTACATCGATTAGTTGCACAAACACCAAATAGCCTTCCAACTGTTTGAAACCTTATGAAAAATCAGTTCTTAATTCAATTAGGTATCGGGGGAGGGGAGTGCAGAAACCACCCTAATTCCAGATACCCCAATTTTTAGCAAGGGCAAACTACAAATTTTTCGGTATATTTATAGTCTTACTTATTTTTGAAGGTAAGTAAATAGAACTTTCTAGTCAGCGGAAAGGAATACAAGATGCTCGCATTTCTCTTTTAACACGGTTAAGGAAAATTAAGTAATCACAATAATGTGATCCACCAGAATTGGGCATCTTATACCCAGAGCAGGTTTTTTAGAGAACTATAGTGCTTATTTAAAATTAAATGGGTCAAAGAAGGGTTCTTAAATTTAAGAAACAACGCCAATGAGAAGGCTTTATTTTAATGCTTCTCAAAGACTTCAAAATGATTACATCACGAGCCGCTTCGGAAAGGGAACAACAGTCGGAATTCGTAGTTCCAAAACCTTCTCGTAATTAAGTCGATTTCTTTACTCCCTTTGAGCAAGCAACACCTTCCTCAGCTCTGTACTAAGGATTAAACTAAGGTTTTCACCGATAGAACACTAATTAAAATTATGCAACCAGAATTCTACTGAGCGTAAGCAAAAAACAAAAACAAAACAAAAAAAACGTTACAAGACGATTCTCTTCTCCCGTTCTACGCCTTACAGACAACGCCTTTCTGACCCAATACTTTTCAAAGACCCCCGTCCCTTTTTTCCCTTCCCCAACCCTACCCCAAAGCGAACATAAATTCCCAAGCCCTAATGAAACTCAACGTAAACGACTAATAAGAATGAGTAAGCTAAACTGGAAGCCGGTCTGTGGGTCCAACGGAATACAGAACTAGGAAAGAGATGAGGAAAGTTCTGGAAAAAAAAAAAAAAAAAAAAAAAGACACTCCCTGCGGCTCCCCACCCCCACCGACACCGCCTCATTTCCCCCTCCCTAAAGCAGGCAGCCATGATGGCGGGCGCAGAAGAAGGCCGCGGCGCCATTTTGTCCACACACACACGCGCGGACAACAGCTCTGAGAGCCGTTCCCCCACTCTTTGGAAAGTAGCAGAAAAATATCCCTGGTTTTAAACTCAGAGTCGGCACCTACCGCCATAGTCCAGAGTTGTAGCCGCTAGGGCGGCGCCTCCACTCGCCACTCTCAACAGTACCGGCCGCCCCGACGCTTCACCACAGACTAAATCGCTCGCGCGAGAGACCCGGATGGCACAAAGGGGATGAGGCCCGGTGCGTCGCACGGCTTGCTGGGAAAAAAAAAGGTGGTGATAAGAGTCTCTATAGCAACGCGATTCGAGGAGGTGATTGGTTGTTCTTTTGAAGGGGGCGGGTAAAGCCAGGGAGGAGGGCGGGGCCAAGAATACACCCTAGATTGCGTAGCCTGGAAATCGGAACGGGTGGAATTTAGGGTGGGGCGACCTCCTCTTTCGATTGTAAAGCAATTTTGGCCTCCTCCGGCCGCCGTAAAGGGGGTTGGGCTTGGTATTCTCCCGCCAATTTAAACCCGTGGGTTAGACCCTGAAGACATTAGGGACAGCTGTAGGTGGCAGGAGGAGGGGCGATAAATTTGACTGTTCTTCTTTAGTTTCTTCAGTTGCAGGTGAGGAGTGGGAAACGCGTTGCTGTAGAGATCTGGGGGGTGGGTTCAGGTCGAAGTAACAGCGGCCTCAGCTCAATTCGGGTGTTTTCCCGTTAGGACGCTGGCGGGAGAGAGTTTGAAGTCGGTTCTTGCTGGTCCGTTGTCCAGCTGGGAGCGTTTGTGCATGGGGGCTTAACTGACACTTTCATTTCATTTAATTCGCTAATAGGTTCTCCACCCAGCAGCGCGACTGATCTCAAATCGTTAATCAAATCAGGTCACTCGTCTCCTTAGTGCCCCTGTATTACCGACCATAAAAATCCAATCTTCAAGTCGGGAATTCGTTTAGCTTCTGCACTGTTCCATTTTTACTATGGCCTGGCAGCCGCCCAGACTCATTCCAGCCTCCGAGCCTTTGCACTCGGCCTGCATCTCTGTTCTCCCCGAGCTTTGCAGAGTTGGCTTCTTGCTCTTGGAATCTCAGCTCTGATGTCCTCTCTTTCCTTTACCTAACAGGTTCTTCTTAGGCGACCTCCCCCCCCCCCCCACCTGAGCATCGTTTAGTTCAAAACCTTTGGCACTGTTTGTAATTGTGCACGTATTTATTTATTTTTGTAGGGAGGCAGTGTAACAGTTAATAGGCGTGAATTTCTGTGTTGTCTAACTACATCATTTACTCGCTTTAGGCCACCTTGGCCATTTATTTAATCCCTGGCTCTTGTCTGCTGTAAAATGGGTTGTTGTGCAGATTAAATGAGTAAAGCATTCAAAACTATCTTGCATACTCAATACATTTTAACTATTTAATTTTTCCTTCGTAGACGAATATAGACTTCATAATGATTGAAGGCCTTTTCTGTCTTCCGGGCTGTATTCCAGCCCTAGAACAGTCCCTGACACAAAGTAGGCATCCAAAACATTTGTTGAATGAGTGACTGTGACTGCCCTGGAAGGCTGATAGTATTTCTCTATTTTTTTTCAGATGTGGGACACAGAGACCCATAAAAGTATTCACCCCAACCTGTCCCTCCTGTCTTAATCTCCTTCCAACTCCCACCCAAAAACCAGCCACTAGAACTATTGTCTGTTCTAACATGCTTTATTTTGTACCCTTGCTCCCATTCTTGGTAAGAACTCTTTTCCTGTATTTAAAAACCTCCTATGACCATAGCCTAAATGTTACCTGCTTCCACCAATGAAAATAATAAATTACCTAACACTTAAAATATTGAGTGCTTGCCATGAACCAAGCATTGTTGCATGAATAGTTAAAAACTCATAACTTTTGCAGGTACAACTATGTTCCTATTACAGAGAATTAAGGAACAGAAGGATTACATTGCTTCCTCAAGGACAACTGATTGTAAATGAAAACGCACCTTCCCTATGCTGTATGTTCCATAAAATTTAAAACATATTTCTGCTAGCGCTTATCAAAACAGTTGTAATTATTTGGTTGCTATTCCCCACCAGTGATTGATCCAGGGATTGTTTTTCATCTTAGTATTCTATTCCCACTCACAGCACACTTAAATGAGTTACATAAGTCTTTACTGATGAGATGTTCAAGTGACTCTCCTAGGGTTACAGGTATACTCTTTGGTTCAGTCAGAAACAATCCAATTTTTCCCCTTTACCCTTATTATTTTCATTTACTGTATAATACAGGAAACATTAATGGACTTTTTTTAAAGTTCATTTGGAACCTTAACCATCCTAAGATATCCCAGATAGTCTGACTTTAGAGCTTCTGGTATTTATTGCTATACTACTAAAAGGTTTATTTCAAATGAAAACTTGTTATAATTTCAAGCTAGGCGCACAAAATACTGGAAGCTGTAGGATACATTGGTGAGATCAGATTTGTCTGTGTTCCTAGATGGATATATTGTTCTCTGATGATGATCATAGCTCTAGTTCCATTTATCTTATTGGTCTGAAGTATCTAGTGACTACAGAAATAACACAAAAGTCTTGATTGATTGATGTGTGTGTTATATATGTGTGTGTGTGTGTTTATTAAACCTTTTCATTTTCCAAGGAACTGTATTTTTGCAGCAATATAATTTGTTCTCTAACTTTACATGTTGTCACAGGGAAAGCAGTGGTTCCTGGCTCAGGAAGACAATCTCAGAAACATGTGGAATGAGATTGAACTGTTGACAAGTGATGATACAGGAAGTGGGTACCTAAGTGTTGGTTCAAGAAAAGAACACGGAACTGCTTTATATCAAGTTGATTTGCTAGCAAAGATCTCCTCTGAAAAGGTAATGATTATGGTACTGTTTTCGTTTATAACACTTTTGCTGCGGGCTTAGTAGGCCCAGTAGTCACATGGTAGATGTTCTATAAATGCATATAGCATTTCTCAGGGAATCAAGGTTCATTCTCAGATTACTGGAAATTTCCATCTGAATTCTCCTTCATTGTCTTAAGATCACTATTTCTGAAATTGAACATTTCATAGCTCTTCTTGACATTTGGACAAATAGAATATAAATAAAGTGAAACAGAATGCCCACCACCAGCTTAGGAAATAAAACATTATCAATAGATTTGAAGCCCCTGGGGTCCCTTCCCAATCCCATGCTCCCCCTGTACTCCATCGCTGAGTTAAGCATTCTGCTGAGGTTGACATTTCTCCTTTCCATGCATTTCATTCCACATATTAATTTTCTTCTTTTAACAATAAATCTACCAGGGCATCTGGGTGGCTCAGATGGTTAAGCGTCTGCCCTCAGCTCAGGTCATGATCCCAGGGTCCTGGGATCGAGCCCCACATCAGGCTCCCTGCTCAGCGGGGGGCCTGCTTCTCCCCCTCCCTCTGCTTCTCCCCCTGCTCATGTTCTCTCTCTCTGTATCTCTGTGTCTCGAATAAATAAATAAAAAAAAAATCTTTAAAAAAAAATAGTAATTCTACCATTCTCAGTCCAGGCTTGAAACCTTATTTTTTGCATCCTGTAGAAAATATTACAGGTAGTTTTTTTATCTTACAGTTTCTTTTTCAGTAATTTGCTTCTGATAAAGTAATTTTTGTAAACAAAGGGTTTTTTTGTAAAGAAAGTACGTCTGATTTTTATTCACAGTATTATAGCCCAGGATCCCTTCACTTCCCTTAGTAAGTCAATACAATATTTAATCCTCTAATTAAGAAAAAAAGGTTTAAATGAAAAGAAGAAACAAACTATTAGAGACAAAATTGTATCTTCTAGGGCTTGAAAGGAAGGGCCTCTTCTGGGGACCTTATTCATAAAAGACTTCAAATGTAGGCTTTTTGGCTTTTTTTTCAAGTGAGTTTCTATATGTATTCAGAGAAACTGGCTGATAGGATTTAAAAAAAAAAAATAGACCATTCTTTACACAGCTTGCATACTATTGTTTAACTATACTGCCTTTAGTAGACTATGAATCACAGAATTTGTAAATGTTCATTATGAGTAGTATAAATATATTATTTACTTTGGTATTAAATTGTTTACTTGTTAAAAGCAAAAGTTTTGAAGTATACTAAAAGTTCTGTAATGAGAAAGTGGCATTTATATTTTAGTATTATCAGGAGCCTCAAAACATGGAAGTAGTCCAGGCCTCTCTTGAGCTCTGAGGACTCCTGTTGAAAAATAATAGTATGTGTGTATTGAGCTTCAAATTCAGCTAGGATGGGGCACCTGGGTGGCTCAGTCGGTTAAGCATCTGCCTTTGGCTCAGGTCATGATCCCGGGGTCCTGGGATCGAGTCCCACATCGGGCTCCCTGCTCAGCAGGGATCCTGCTTCTCCCTTTGCCTCTGCCTCTCTCTCTCCATCTGTCTCTCATGAATAAATAAATAAAATCTTTAAAAAAACCAAAAACAACAAATTCAGCTAGGAACTAAAATTTCATCTGTTATTAGCTTGGAGTATCTCTCATCACTCTATGTCCAAAACCCTATGCTAACCTCTTAGAATAGAAGGTAACCTGGGGGGGCACCTGGGTGGCTCAGTCGTTAAGCGTCTGCCTTTGGCTCAGGTCATGATCCCGGGGTCCTGGGATCGAGCCCCGCATCGGGCTCCCTGCTCGGCAGGAAGCCTGATTCTCCCTCTCCCACTCCCCCGTCTTGTGTTCCTCTCTCATTGTCTCTCTGTCAAATAAATAAATAAAATCTTAAAAAAAAAAAAAAGGTAACCTGGGGTGCCTGGGTGGCTCAGATGGTTGGGCGTCTGCCTTCGGCTCAGGTCAGGATCCCAGGATCCTAGGATTGAGCCTGCTTCTCCCTCTCCCTCTGCCTGCCGCTCCCCCTGCTTGTACTTTCTAATAAAAAATAAATCTTAAAAAAAAAAAAAAAGAATATAAGGTAACCTGTTATCTCATCTTTTTAGGATCTTTCCTTAAAGTGAAGCAGACAGGACATCAGCAATAAAAACTACTTAGTTGTGCAAGTCAGTATATGCTAAATATCAAATGAATGGTACAGACAGTAAATGCAGTAAGAATTCAGAGGGAGGAGAGCTTGTTGTGGGTGGGACAGTTTAAGGAGCATTTCATAAAGAAATTAGCACTTAACTTGGGCCTTAAGAAAAAGGGAAAATGGAAACACAACTTATCAAAATTGTGAGGTGCAGCAAAAGCTATGCTTACAGGAAAATTTATAACATTGAATGTATATGTTAGAAAAGAAAGATCTAAAATCAATAATCTAAGTTTCTTGCTTAGGAACCTAAAAAGTAAGGGCAAATGAAATCCACAGTAAGTAGAAAAAAGAATAAGAGAACAGAAATCAATGAAATTGAAAACAGGAAATCAGTAGAGAAAATCAATGAAACCAAGAACTGTTTCTTTGAAAAGATCAATAAAATCTGTAATTCTCTAGCCAGGCTAACTAAGAAAAAAAGAGAGAGAACACAAATTACTAATATCAGAAATGAAAGAGGGGACATCACTACAGACCCTGTGGACATTGAAAGAATAATCAAGGAATACTAAGAGCAACTCTGTGCCCACAGATTTGGTAACCTAATGAAATGGACCACATCCTTGAAAGACATAATCTTCCAAAATTCACACAAGAAGAAAGACACAATCTGAATAGGCCTCTACCTATCAAAGAAATTGTATCAGTAATTAATAACCGTCCAAAACAGAAAGAACCAGTCCCAGATGGGTTCACTGGTGAATTCTACCAAACATTTAGGGAAGAAATTATACCAATTTTCTACAGTCTCTTTCAGAAGATAGTAGCAGAGGGAATACTTCCTAACTCATTCTATAAGCCCAGCATTACCCTAATACCCAAACCAGGCAAAGACCTTACAAGAAAACTACAGACCAAAATTTTTCATGAACAGAAATGCAAAAATTTTCAACAAAATATTATCAAATTGAATCCAATATATAGAGAGTTATATACTACAACCAAGTAAGATTTATCCCAGGTATGCAAGGTTGCTTAAACATTTGAAAATCAATTAATGTTTAGGTGATGAATGTGTTAACTAACCTTATTGTGGTAATCATTTCACTATATATATATATATATATATATATACATACACACATATTATCACATTTTACACCTTAAACTTACACAATGTTACTTGCAAATTATATCTCAGTAAAGCTGGAAAAAAAATCAATGTAATCCTTTACATCAACAGATTAAAGAAAAATCACATAATCCTATCAATAGATGCAAAAAAAGCATTTGAAAAAAAATCTAACAATCATGATAAAAACTCTCAGTAAACTAGGAATAGAAGGAAGCTTACTCAATTTGATAAAGAATATATTAAAAAACCTATAGCTAACATTATACTTAATGGGAAGAAACTAGAAACTTTCCCAGTAAAATCAGAACAAGGCAAGGATATCCTTCTCACTACTTCTTTTCAACATCATACTGGAAGTCCAGCTAATTCAATAAGCCAAGAAAAGGAAATAAGAGGAATACAGACTGAGAAGAAAGAAAGAAAACTTTGCGCATGACTTAATTGTCTATGTAGAAAATCTGAAATAGTTGACAAAAAAACACCTGAAACCGAAACATTTATAACAAAGTTGCAGGATATAAGGTTGATATGCAAAAGTCGGCTGCTTTCCTATATACCAGCAATGAACAAATGGAATTTGAAATTAAAAACACAATCCAAAATAATCCTTGTGGGACGCCTGGGTGGCTCAGTTGGTTAAGCATCTGCCTTCGGCTCGGGTCATGATCCCAGGGTCCTGGGATCGAGTTCCGCATCGGGCTCCTTGCTTGGCGGGGAGCCTGCTTTTCCCTCTGCCTGATGCTCCCCCTGCTTATGCTCTCTTTCTGACAAATAAATAAAATCTTTAAAAAAAGTAGATTGCCTTTAAAAACAAAACAAAACAAAAACCAAAATGTTTGTGACCTTGGATCAGGCAAAGCCTTCTTACATGTGATGCCAAAAGCACAAGTGACAAAAGAAAAAAATAAATTGGACTTCATCAGAATTAAAAGCTGTGTTTCAGAACACAGTCCAAAAAGTGAAAAGACAATTCACAGAATGGGAGGAAATATTTGTAGACAAGGAACTTGTGCCCAAAAAATACAAAGAACTTCCAACTTAATTATAAAAAGACAAGTAACTTGGTTAAAAAATGGGCCAAAGACCCTAAGACATACCTCCCCAAAGAAGATATACAGATGAGAAATAAGCATATGAGAAGATGCTTCACATCTTGTCATCAAGGAAGTTTAATTTAAAACAATCATGAGGGGCACCTGGCTGGCTCATTTGGAAAAGCATGCAACTCTTCATCTTGGGGTTGTGGGTTCGAGCCCCACATTGGGTGTAGAGATCACTAAAAAAATATAAAGTTAAAAAAAGTAAAAATAAAACAATCATGAGATACCACTGCACACCTATCAGAATGGCCAATATCAACAACACTGACAACACCCAATGCTGATAAGGATGTGGAGCAACAGGAACTCTTATTCAGTGCTGGTGGAAATGCAAAATGGTACAGCCACTCTGGAAGACAGTGGGGCAGTTTCTCCCAAAACGAAACATACACAATACCAACAAAGCAGTTGCACTCCACAGTATTTACCCAAAGGATTTGAAACTTACATCTACAGGTACAAAAACCTGCACATGGATGTTTATAGCAGCTTTATTTAAAAAATTGGCATAACTTGGAATCAACCAAGATATCCTTTAGTAGGTGAATGGATAAACTGGTACATCCAGACAATGAAATATTATTCAGCCCTGAAAAGAAATGAGCTATGAAGCCATGGGAAGACATGGAGGAAACTTAAATGTCTATTACTAAGTGAAAGAAGTCAATCTAGGGGCACCTGGGTGGCTCAGTCGTTGGGCGTCTGCCTTCGGCTCAGGTCGTGATCTCAGGGTCCTGGGATCGAGCCCCGCATCGGGCTCCCTGCTCCTCGGGAAGCCTGCTTCTCCCTCTCCCACTCCCCCTGCTTGTGTTCCCTCTCTCGCTGTGTCTCTCTGTCAAATAAAATCTTTAAAAAAAGAAAAAAAGAAGTCAATCTAAAGGCTGCATACTGTATCATTCCAATGATAACGACATTCTGGAAAAGGTAAAACTAAGGACACAGTGATAAGATCAATGGTTATCAGGGATTAGAGTTTGAGGGGAGGAGGGACCAATAGGCACAGCCCAGCATTTTTAGGGCAATAAATTACTCTGTATGATATAATAATGACATATCTGTTATTATACATGTGTTCAGACCCACAGAGTGTACAATAGGAAGGGTGAACTATCATGTAAATTATGGACTCTGGGTGATGATGTGTCAGTGTAGGTCTATCAGTTGTAACAAATGTAGCATTTGGTGGGGGATGTTGATAGTGGGGAAGGCTGTGCATGTCTGGAGGCTAGGGATATATGGCAACTCTGTATCTTCCTCTCAATTCTGCTGTGAACCTAAAACTGCTCTTAAATAAAGTCTAAAAAAAAGAAGAGGAGGAGGGAGAGCTGTCTAAGCAGAGAGAACTGTATGGGGACATCCCAGGAAGGTATAGCATACTTCCTTCTTTGCAGTGGTTTGTATAAAACTTCTCATTATTAGAAGAAACAAGTTAAAAAAGTGTAAGAGGCATCAGAATGTGGTAGCATTTTCAAGAATTTCACCTGGTGGAGGTGACTGTTGAAACAAGCACAAAATGAACTGATTGGATTAAAACTTAGCCAGGGAAGAATAAGAACAGTTAACATTTATTGAGCATATATCATATGCAGGGCTATCTTCTAAGCCTTTACACAAATTCATTCATTTAATCTTCATATAAGCCAGCATTATAGGTATTATTATTATTATTATTATTATTATTATTATTATTCCTGTTTTGCAGGAGAGTCAGTTGAGGTATTTGCCCAAGAATACTCAGCTAGTAAGTAACCAAGCATTGTCAACCACTAAACTGTCCAACTGCTTCAAGATACATTTCCGGGGTGCCTGGGTGGCTCAGTTGGTAAAGCGGCTGCCTTCAGCTCAGGTCATGATCCCAGGGTCCTGGAATCGAGGTCTGAGTTGGGCTCCTTGCTCAGCAGGGAGCCTGTTTCTCCCTCTCCCTCTGCCTGCCTCTCCCCATGCTTGTGCTTGCTCTCTCTCTGTCAAATAAACAAAATCTTAAAAAAAAAAAAAAAAGTTACATTTGTGTGCAGAGCTCCAATTACCAGAAGCTGAAAACTGGAGACTCATAATTGGCTTGCAGAGTATTTTTTGAAATGTTGACTTGACTGCCAATATTTAAAACTCAGGTGGCGTCTGGGTGGTTCAGTTGGTTAAGCAACTGCCTTCGGCTCAGGTCATGATCCTGGAGTTCCGGGATCGAGTCCTGCATTGGGCTCCCTGCTCAGCAATGGGTCTGCTTCTCCCTCTGACCCTGACCCCTCTCATGCTGTCTCTATCTCATTCTCTCTCTCAAATAAATAAATAAAATCTTAAAAAAAAATAAAACAGAACATTTCACATAAAGATCTAGTTTTCTTGGTAAATTGGGCATGGCCATGCCTGGGTTGCATTTCCACCAGCCTTTAATCTCTTTCTGCTCTCTTTACTGTCTGTGGGGGCGTGAGCCCTCCAGTTCACATCCCACTCCTGACCCCCTCGTATCTCAGACATTGAGACTTTGTGCCAATCTTGGCTCATTCACTCATTTTGATGCCTGCCTGCTCCTGCAGGCGTAAGATCCACCCTTAGGAAACAAAGACTTGCACAGGAGAATCCCTTGCCCTTTCCTAGCAATCTTGGACTGTTTCCCCATTTTGGACTCTGAATGGATTCACGATATACCGTAGAAAGAAAAACTTGACCAATTAGAGATATGGACTAAAGAAAAAAGTTAACTTTTAAATGTGGGTACTTGGGACTATGATGATACTCTTGGTAAGTATTGTTAAACGTGTATAAAAACGTTTTATTTTAGTCCTACTTTTCCCTCCCACAGGCCTCATTAAATCCAAAAATACAAGCATGCAGCTTAAGTAATGGGTTTATTATTGTCGTAGACCAATCTGTGATCCTGCTTGACAGTGTTTGTAGATTGCTTCAACTGCATCTTATATTTGGTAAGTCTAGTGCAATACAATAAGATAAATTGGAAGCCAGGTATAGCTTGCTACCAATTTCTACTGCATTGCCTTTTCTTTACTCCATTATTTCTAAGACTTGAAATTGGACTAATTTCAAAAAATTAATCTCAAGTGCCTTTTCTGTGCAGAGTACCAGATGCAAGGGATCCTGAGATGATCCCTTCTCTCAATAAATCTAAGGGGTACATGTATACGTAAATACATGTAAAGCAACAATTAACTACTTTGTTTATATCTTGTCCATGATTTTTAAAATTAGAATATTGTGGAAACCAGTTGAGCCCAATTTTGTTCAAGTTCCTGAATCTTGTATATGTACAGCCCTGTAGGGGCATCTGGGTGGCTCAGTTGGTTAAGCGTCTGACTTCAACTAAGGTCATGATCCCAGGGTCGTGGGATCAAGCCACGCATCCGCCTCCCTGCTCAGCGGGGAGTCTGCTTCTCCCGCCCCTCCCCCACAGCTTGTGCTCTCCCTCTCTCTCTCAAATAAATAAATAAAATCTTTAGAATATATATAGCCCTATAAAAAGATTTTTATTTATGAGACAGAGAGAAAAACGAGTGGGGGGAGGGGCAGAGAGAGAATCTCAAGCAGACAACCCACTGAGCACGAAGCCCGACACAGGGCTCCATCCTAGAACCCTGAGATCATGACCTGAGCCGAAATCAAAGTCAGATGCTTAACCAACTAAGCCACCCAGGTGCCCCTATAAAAGCTTTTTAAATACTAATGAATTAATTCATTGAGTTAAAAGGCTTTAACTATGCAAATATGGACATAAGACTAAATTAAGGGACAAGTCAAGTGATTGTGCTGGAAAATGGAAGAAACATTGTGAACATTTTTTCTGAAATTTTGCGGGAGATGGTTGTTGAAGTGTTTAAGAACTTAGACAACAGAAAAGGAGTCAGGAGGTATGCATGTGAGAAGGCAATCCTGATTGCAATATGGAGGCAAGGAACTCCTATTTTGTAGAATCTTAACGTATCTACCCTGAATGGTCTACAAGATTCACAATTTCACCATGAAATAGTGTTAATGTGTAATACATTTGTGGAAAGCCTTTGTTTATGTCTTATCCAAGAGGGTTATCCTGAGCCCTCCAGTTCGCCCTGCATCATGTGTGGCTCTTCCAAGCTATCTTCCCCTGCTCTACTTTTTCTTTTTTCCAGAGAATTTACCACCTTCTTACATGTCATATAATTTATTATGCCCTAATTGTTTATCATCTATTTCTGCCTTGGAATTTGAGCTCCATGAAGGTGGGACTCTTTTGTTACTATTCTCAGATACATGCAAAAGGCCTGGAACATTGCTTAGCTTGTAGTAAGTGCTCAGTAAATATTTATTGACTGAATAAGAGTAACATTCTTTTTTATTTTAATCACCACCTTTGGGACATATTTAAGAGAAGCTTGAGTAGTTGACTTTTAATGACAAAATTGCTCTTTTTTTTATATTGAAAATAAGATTTTCGATGAAAGTTTGTAACTTTGATTTGAAATTTTCAGATACTGAAGTGGATGTAGTTGGCCTCTGTCAAGAAGGAAAGTTCCTTTTGGTTGGGGAGAGAAGTGGCAACTTACATCTTATTCATGTAACATCAAAGCAAACATTACTCACTAATGTAAGACCCTGTTATGTTTTTCATTTTTGTCACTTAAATTTTAAATTACCTCTTAAACAACTAAAACTGTAACCGTTACTTAATTTGTTTTTAATTAAAAGAATAATGTCCTTACATTAAATTAAAGAATCATACCTTAGAAACATATGAAGTAAATGCAAAATTGAAAAACTAAGCTTTGAATATATTCCTAGTATGCTTGTCCAAAATAGTTTTCCATTTTAAAACTAAATTGTTTGGAATTATAGGCAGAATTATTGCTAATGACTATTGATAATACTAGGCTTTAAAGAATATAATTCTTGATTATATTTTTCTGGGTTTAATCTTATCATTTGAAATGAATTTGCAATTAGGCTTTTGTTCAGAAAGCTAATGATGAAAATCAGTGTACTTACCGGAATCTTGTTATTGAGAAAGACAGTTCAAGTGAAGGTAAGTTTTTTGAAATTTTTTTCAATGTCCTCTGACTAATATCCAATAAAAAAAATCCAGATTAACTACAAATCTAATAATTTATTAACTACAGTTCATTTTTATGCCTCCTATACAATGTTAAATTCTCTAGTGATTCAAATAACATGATAAGAAATAAGAAATAAGTTTTTGTATTTTAGCTCTTTTCAGGGATTTAGATGTACTTTCCCTGAACATAATATTTGAAATTCATTTTTATAGTTTTGAGAGTTCTATAGATTACCAAGGAGACGTTATATTCTTTTAAAATGTTTTTGTAGGTTTCAGCATATTTATATTTTTATTTTAACAAGTGTTAATTGGACCTTAATTTATTTCATTATATCTGAGATTCTTTTTTTCCTGGCAAGTGAAGTTTGATTTATAAAAGTTTCAAAGAAGTGGGGCGCCTGAGTGGCTCAGTCGTTAAGTGTCTGCCTTCGGCTCAGGTCATGGTCCCAGGGTCCTGGGATTGAGCCCTGCTCGATTGGGCTCCCTGCTCTGAGGGAAGCCTCCTTCTCCCTCTCCCACTCCCCCTGCTTGTGTTCCCTCTCTCGCTGTGTCTCTCCCTGTCAAATAAATAAATAAAATCTTTAAAAAAAAAAAAGTTTCAAAGAAGTTAGCATTGTTTTGCAAATAACTTACCAGTTCTTTCTAAAATACTTTATCTGTATCATTACCATATTGTTTGATGATTAGAATTTAAAATGAGCAAATTGACATACTTTTAAGGTAGGTCCAAACACTTAAATTTTTTTTAGATTTATTTATTTATTTGAGAGAGAGAGAGTACTCACGGGAGCGGGGGGTGAGGGCAGAGGGAGAGGGAGAGAGAGTCTCAAGCAGACTCTGCACTGAGCATGGAGCCCAACACAGGGCTCGATTTCATGACCCTGGGATCATGACCTGAACTGAAGCCAAGAGTCAGGTACTTAACTGACGCTTAACCGACTGCACCATCCAGGTGCCCCCAAACACTTAAATTTTATATCTGTGCATCTGTTAGAAAAACTGGCTTGATTTTATTTCAATAGGTACCTATTATATGCTGCTGCTTACAAACAATGGATTTTTTTGTATTACAAACCTTCAACTTGCAAAAATTCAACAAGGTAAATGATAGATTTTTTTATTATTATTATTGATTTGTAGCAATATCTCTTACTAGTTTTTTGGGTAAAATTTTAAATATTCTCTTTAAGAATATTATTTTAGTTTAATTAGGTTCTAAAATACCAGCTATAGTTTTAAGGATTCATATATTGCTTATTCTTCACTATTAAGGCTGCAACAGAATCTGAAGAAATGTACATTGTTTACAGCCTTCAAGGAGTTTATAGCTTAGTCGGGGAGACCAGACACACACTAGCATAGTAATAAATGCTTTTTGATGGAATGAAGGAACCTGGAAACTGATATGACTGTATAAACATGTTAACAATACAGGCAATAATCCATAGTACGTGCTAAGTGAATGGTATGGACCATACATCCCTCTGAGCTGGGAAAGGTTGAGGAATTTGTTTGGGGCATGTGTTCAACAAATATTTTTTCATAGTCTTCGTGCCAAGAATGTACAAAGTCCTGGGGATACCACAAGACATAGTTTTTCATAGTTTAGAGAAGGAACCAGACAAGTAAAAGCACTCTTCCAAAATGGTGTGCAAAGTGATGAAGACCTTACAGGTAGGACTTCAGAGCTTGAGAAGAGAGTTGGAGCAGGGAGACCACCCTTTAGGAGGGAGAAACATGGTAAGAGAAAGTATGCAGTCGCACTCCGGGGACAAAGAGGCAGCCTGGCTGGTGCCCTGACTATGACAAGTTGTCACAGTTGGTATCAGTGGTCAAGGGCAAAACTGAAAAGTCACCAATGCTTCTCACTAGAATAGTGTATATAATCTCACCCTGATACACAAGGGTGACTTGTATGTATTTTATAGGTTAATACTGTAACTTTAGTCATTCTCTCCTTTCATGCAGCAATTGAGAATGTAGACTTCAATACAGCAAAAAAGGTAAGAAAAGAAAACCACAGTTTCCTTTTGAAACTTATATTTAATGTAAGTTTAGGAGAGTGTTCTGGATACTGTCTAATGGTTGATATTTTGGGAATTAATGTGATATAACATTTTAATAACATTGCCATTTAAAAATGCATTTATAGGGGCTGGCTCCCTCAGTGGAGCATGCAACTCTTGATCTCAGGGTTGTGAGTTTGAGCCCCATGTTGGGTGTTGAGATTATTTAAAAATAAAATCATTTAAAAAAAAGAGATGTATTTAAAAATAAATAAATAAAAATAAAAATGCATTTATGGGTCCCCTGGGTGGCTCAGTCATTAAGCATCTGCCTTCGGTTCAGGTCATGGTGCCAGGGTCCTGGGATCAAGCCCTGCATCGGGCTCCCTGCTCATGGGAAGCCTGCTTCTCCCTCTCCCACTCCCCCTGCTTGTGTTCCCTCTCTCGCTCTCTCTCTGTCAAAATAAATTTAAAAATCTTTTTAAAAAAATGCACTTAAAACAGATTGATTTAAACTCATTTTTACCAACTTTCCAAGGAATTTGGACTGTGGAGCATATATTGACTTTTTTTTTTTTTTTTAATTTTGCAGTTACAAGGACAAATCAAGTCTGGTTTTATTTCTACTGAAAATTATCATACTCTTGGTTGTCTCAACCTTGTGGCTGGAGATTTAGCAAGTGAAATTCCTGTGATAATTGGGGTAATTCTTTCTATAAAATTTTATTTTTTTGCTTCTGAGGTGTTTCTTCATTAGCACATAGTTTTGATTAAATTACGAATTAATTTGTAATGTGTAACAGAAACAGAGAAATTGTAAAATTAAAGTCATAAAATTAACTCAGTAAGTACACCTAAGTTTCTATGTTGGAAAACATAGTGCATCTTTTTTTCACTAATTTCTATCTGAAATTTAGCATTTCTTTCACTTATGAATCTAGGCAAAAACAATGAAAATCTAATTATATTCAAGGAGTATATTCTAATTGTATTCAAGGAATAGGCAACAATTCAATATAATTACAGCATTTGTAACATTTTTACCTGCCAGATTTATATTTTATATTAAGAAGCAGCTACATTTCTCTATGTATCCAGTTCAGTATTTCATCAGGGTTTCAAATGATTTAAAATTAATATTTTTGAATTTTGTTTTCAAAAATTTGTGGTTACTTTAATGAAAATACTTAACCAAAAACTATATCTCATCCTACTGGAAGAGGTCTTAAAGTTTACCCCATGTCTTTGCGGTGAGTTACGTGAATATGCCCGCTCCTTATTAAAAATCATGTAATAACAGCAAACAGCCAAGTTTGCTGTTCTTTCCATTCTGTTCTGTTGAAAGCAGACTAAGTGAGGAACTGGAAGATAAAAGCTAGTTGGGCTTGAATACATAAGTATATTTTGAAATTAGTAACATGTACAACTTGGGTGTTTCTACTTCGAGGAGACTTCAGATCTGAGAGCGAAATTTGCAATTGATGTGCTGTTTCACCTCTGTAGGGAACCGGTAATTGTGCAGTCTCAAAATGGGAACCAGACTCTTCAAAAGAAGGAATGACAGTTAAGAATGTTCTTAATACAGAGATTATTAAAGGTAAAATAAGTTAATGAAACTAGTTGGGGTCATTATGAGTGAGTTTTAATTTTCATGTCAATATGCTAAGTCTGGTGAATGGGCCATTTTACCTTACTGCTCTTTGAAACAAGCCAGATTAGTTTGATAATTGTCCACATACATGACTGTTCTTGACCTGTTTCAGTTTTTACTCTTCATTTTGGGAGGTTTTACATTTTAGTTGTCATCTAAAAATATATAGAGGCAGGAATATGAGAATGGGAACTTTTTGTTTAAGGGTAGTAGTTCTGCCTTTCCATAAATAATGGTAGTTTATTATTTAAATATGGCTATCTGTAACACAAAAATGTAATCTTTACACACATTGCTTTCTCTTTTGTAGGTGCAAAGAAGTTCCAGTTGATAGACAATCTACTTTTTGTTCTTGATACTGATGTATGTTTCCGATATTTCTCTTCCGGTGTTTTCATTTTGTATAATGTAGAGCAACAAAAATTTGTCAGACTTAACAAAGACAAGGACTTTAGCTGGGGTGGATTACTATCTGGTGTGCTGTGCTTTATTTCAGTACACATCAAACGATAGATCCTGCAATGTAAGATCTTGAAATGTCATTAAGATGTGTCCGTGATATGTCTCTTTTTACAGAATGTGCTGAGCGTCTGGGATATTTACACTCTGATTCCCATATGGAACTGGCCCTCTCTTCACATCGAAGAGTTTCTTCTTACCACAGAAGCAGATTCTCCTTCATTAGTCACCTGGTACATTATGACACCAATAGTGATTTCCCTTCTTTATAACCAGGTTTCTTGATCATTCGTTATGTATTACATTCTCACTAACCCTGTGGACAGACTGACAGGGTAAGGACCATTCCATCGTTGGCCAGATTCATTGAGAACAAATAGGCATTACAAACCTCCAAGTGGTTGTGTTAGAAAGAGTGTCAATCTGTGCCATAAACATGAAGAAATCAGGTTCATTGTCTTCTGTGGGAATTAGTTTTAACCTTTTAGAATATTCCTTTGACTTAGCCTATATCTAGCAATTGGCAAAGCTTATTTGAATCACTTAAACCTTTTTTTCTCTTTTAGGCAAGGGATTACAAATCTCAAATTAGTAGCTCTGACAACTACTACTGATAAGAAGGTATTAGAAAATTGTATTTCACATTTGTCCACATTATGTGTTAGACATAGCATTAAATAATATGAAAGTGGTTAAGTAGTACCCATAGCATTTTTACTCTGTGTTGACACAGACTTGACAAATCAGAAGTAATCCTGCAGAGTCTTTTTTACTTATTAAAAAAAAAAAAAAAATGGAAGGGCACCTGGGTGGCTCAGTCAGTTAAGCGTCTAGCTCTTGATTTTAGCTCAAGTCATGATCTTAGGGTTGTGAGATTGAGCCCCGCACTCAGAGCAGAGTCTGCTTGTCCCCGTCCCTCTGTTCCTCCCCCCCACTCATGTGCTCTCTTTCTCTCTCATAAATAAATAAATAAAATCTTAGAAAATTGGATATAAATATCAGCTCCCCATTTCAAATGGAGCAATATTAAAAATATCCACAAGAAAATGTTCCTTTAGAGTGACTCCTACAGTTAGGAATTACATTCACCTTAAATACAAATTGTAGAATGAACTTCAGGTATATGCTTTTTCATTCAACAGATTTGGAGGGTGGAATATGGCATAATTTTATATGTAACATTTAAATAATACAGTAATGGACTTAATTATAAAATTGTTTTCTTGTACCAAATGTTTTAATCTAGGCCCACAATTATGAAGTACTATCCTGTTCTTATAAATTTATATGACCTACTATACTAATTGCTCTTCTTCTATTTTTCTTAGATGAAAAATCTCATGGTTTATTCATTACCTACGATGGAAATACTGTATTCTTTGGAAGTATCTAGCGTTTCCTCTCTGGTCCAATCCGGAATTAGCACAGTAGGTTGATATGTATTTTGTACTTTATAATAAAAAACATTAAGTAAGCTAGGGGGCACCTGGCTGACTCAGTCAGAAGAGCATTTGATTCTTGATCTCGGGGTTATGAGTTTGAGCCCCATACTGGGTGTAGAGATTACTTAAATAAATAAATAATTTTTTTTTCCCTTTAAAGTTAAGTAAGCTAAGCATGAGTGGAAATTTGTGTAATACCTGGACAGATCTCAGGTTTACAACTATATTTATTATTACCAGATGTTTTCAAATACACTTGCCAAAGACCAGTCTTCATATAAGGAAAAAAAGCATATTAATCAAATAAAACCTGAATCATCCACTTACTCAGTTTTCTTGTGTCTCCACAGAAAATATGAATGATAAGTAATTTGGGGGGAGGGTCATTGCTTTTATGGACTTATCTTTTAATTATAATCTTTTTAAAGAACATTTATTACATTTGTTTCGTATATTCAAACACAGACACACTATATTTTTCCAAACCATTTGGAATTTACTTGCAGACATCATGGTCTGTTACCCCTAAATGCTTCAGGAGGTCTCTCCTAAGAGTAAGTGCGTTCTTCTATAGCACAATTATCACTCAGAAAATGTAACATTAATACAATACTATTATGAAGTATACCATCCAAATCCAGATTTTACCAATGGTGCCAATTACTTTAAAACTTTTTTTTCCTTGATCCAGCATCCAGTCAAGCATCATGCATGGAATTTTGTTGTCATGTTCACATGGTAGTCTGCTTTAATCTGTAATAGTTCCCTAGTCTTTTTGTTTTTTTAAGACATTGACATTTTCTGAATCCTAGCCTGTTGTGTTATACAGTGTCCCTCTATTTGGATTTGTCACAATTAGATGCATGCTGAGCTTTCCTGGCAAGGATACCACATAGGTAATACTGTATTGAACTGTGTCACATTAAGGGGCTCATGTCCATTTGTCCTATTACTAGTGATGACAAGTGTGATAACTTGGTCAGGGCAATTCTGCCAGATTTCTCCACTGTAAGGTACTTTTTCCCTTTTATCATTGCTAAGTAGATTCTGTGGTGGTATTCTGAGACTCCGGGAATATCCTTTTCCCCATTGGTTTTTTGCAGTGAATTTAGAATCCATTGATGGGGGGCGCCTGGGTGGCTCAGTCGTTAAGCGTCTGCCTTTGGCTCAGGTCATGATCTCGGGGTCCTGGGATCGAGCCCCGCATCGGGCTCCCTGCTCAGCGGGAAGCCTGCTTCTCCCTCTCCCACTCCCCCTGCTTGTGTTCCCTCTCTCGCTGTATCTCTGTCAAATAAATAAAATCTTTAAAAAAAAAAAAAAATCCATTGATGGTTAATTCTCACCTAAACCAGTTGTTACCTTAGTAACTATAAAATGAATTATTTCTATATTTCAATTTTAAACATTTTTTTTTATTGTTGTAGGATACCATATACCTTCTGGAAGGAATTTGCAAAAATGATTCAAAGTAGGTCATGTTTTATTTTATCAAATAAGTTGTTAAATAGCAGCTAAGTTACAATTTACTTATTAATATTAATGACCAATACACTTACAGGAAAAACATTTTTCAGGGGCGCCTGGGTGGCTCAGTCGTTAAGTGTCTGCCTCCGGCTCAGGTCATGATCCCGGGGTCCTGGGATCGAGTCCCACATTGGGCTCCCTGCTCAGTGGGAAGCCTGCTTCTCCCTCTCCCACTCCCCCTGCTTGTGTTCCCTCTCTCGCTGTGTCTCTGTCTGTCAAATAAATAAATAAAATCTTCAAAAAAAAAAAAAACTTTTTTCAGATTATCTGAAGACTCGGTCTCTGTCGTGGTACTCAGGTGTCTTACAGAAGCTTTACCAGAAAACAGGTAACTTCTCATTTTCTTTTGAGCTTTACCCCTTAATGATAAACTTAAATTCCCTGATTAATAAAAGTTTTACTGAAATTTCTTTTTCAATTTGTCAGATTGAGTCGGTTACTTCACAAACACAGATTTGCTGAAGCAGAGAGCTTTGCTATTCAGTTTGGACTAGATGTTGAGGTAAATCATTCATGAATTCATTTGTTCATCGAACAAGCCTTTTTTCATGTAATGGAGACTGGGGAAACAGACACGTAAAGCGTAACTGGAATTTAATGATCGAGCCTATAATTAAGATATGACCAAAGTACACTAGGGATTCAAAGGGGAAATTGATGCTTACTGGGGTGGAAAGACTTCACAGAGGAGGTCATTTTTATATCAGATCTTGAAGATGTTCCAGATGGTTCAGGAAGAGGAAGGGAATTCTAGGTGCAAGGACAGCATGAATAAAGTGAGGGAGGCTTTTGAGGCTTCCAGGAACTCCCGATTAGGTAGGAGTAGAGAATAGGTTATATGCACAAAGGAGTAAAAGGAGCTGACAATGGAACAGTAGGGGGCCAGAGCCTGGGGAGCATTGTGTGTATTGCAGAGGATTTATTTTATTATTATTTTTTTAAGATTTTATTTATTTATTTGTCAGAGAGACAGAGAGTTTGCAGAGGATTTAGATTGTATTTTGCAGGTGATGGGGAGCTGCTATGAGTGTCCTGATTAGATTGTCGCTTTGTAAAGCTGGAGAATTGTTTGGGATGGGGCACACTTAGGGGTGTAAAGACCAATTGGGAGACAACAGCTTTCTGCATGAGACCTGAGCCAGTGCAGTGAGGTGAAGGTGTATAAGAGAGAGGGTCTGACACAAGAGGCGCAGAGGAGGTAGATCAGTGGAACTAAGTGATCAAACATCGGGAGGGACAAATGTAGGCAATGGGCTGGCAGGACTCTGGCTCGGCATACTCGTGAAATGGGGATGGCACTCCCTAAAATGAGAAGTATGTGTGGAAGAGCAGGTAGTGGTAAAAGATGAAGGGCCTGCTTTCTAAAAATTGCACAAGAAGGGGTCTTGTGAAATGAGGCTATCTGGTAGGAGATTGGAGAGTGATCTGAGCTGAATTTAGAGGTGGGAAACACGGGGGGATGGCCAGACCACTCTGGGCGAGTGTGTAGAGTAGAGAGATCTCATCTCAGGATGAGATCCAGGGGCACCAGCATGTAGGAAGTTAGGAATAAGGGCTATATGCATATGTGGGGAGAAATAAAGGAGGAAAACCACAAGAATGAATGATTATTGATAGAAGCCAAGGAAGGAGAAACTTTAGAGTCTAGTGGGGAGTGATTAGCAGTTTCAAATACTACAGATAAGATAAAGTATTAAAACTGGCAGAAGTCCATTGGATTTGGTGATTAGGTCATTGACATCCCTTAAAAAGTCCTGGAGAGTAATGAAGGAAAAGGCCTGATTGTAGTAAAGAGTTAATACTTCCTTAAGTGGGTGGTGGGCACTCCTGTGTTGTTGTTTTAAAAGTGTAACATTTTAGGGCACCTGGGTGGCTCAGTCGGTTAAGCGTCTGCCTTTGGCTGAGGTCATGATCCCAGGGTCCTGGGATCAAGCCCCGGATCTGGCTCCTTGCTCGGCGGGAAGCCTGCTTCTCCCTCTGCCCCTCCCCCAACTTGTGCTTGTGTGTTCTCTCTCTCTCTCTCTCACAAAAATAAATAAATAAATAAAATCTTTTAAAAAATAAATAAAAGTGTGACATTTTAAAACATATAAAACAATTTTGTGTGTTGTTTAGAAAGGTATATGAGTAAAGGGATAGAGAAATTAATGGGCTATTAAGCACCAAAATCAGATAATGGATACTTCTGGTTTGGACAAGGAGAACAATGTATTTGGGAAGAAGAGAAGGGGGTCTTAAGCTATATTGGTAATATTTATTTTTAAGTAGGGTGATGAGTACATGAGTGTTATATTATTACTTTCTGAACATCTGAAAGTTTCATAATAACTAACTTTTTAAAAGAGTGAATGGGAGCGCCTGGCTGGCTCAGTCAGTAGAACCTGTGACTCTTAATCTTGGGATCATGAGTTCGAGTCCCACATTGAACATAGAGATTACTTTAAAAATATCTAAAAAATTGTAAAGTGAATGGAGTGAAAAATCAGAATCAGTGAAAGCAGTTTTCAGGGAGTGGAGAAATACAAGTAGAGAAACTATGCTCTCTTACCATTTTTAGCTTTCAGAATTACAGACTCCTTGTCAAAGTTGGCATTTTGTTTATAAAAAGGGAACCTAGAGTTTTGGGTTTCTTTCTTTCTTTCTTTTCTTTCTTTCAGTGTGCACGAGCCAGGGGATGGGCAGAGGGAGACAGAGAATCTTAAGCAGTCTCCATGCCCAGCATGGAGCCTGACACGGGGCTTGGGACTCAATCTCTTGACCCTGAGATCATGATCTGAGCCCAGACCAAGAGTTGGATGCTTAACTGACTGAGCCACCAGGCGCCCCAGTATTGGGTATTTCTAACTCAGGCTGTTTCTAGCTGCTAAAGAACCTTTGACAGACTTAGAAAGCGAGGCATGCAACATAATCGTGTGGTCTTCTTTTAAAAACCAGCTCCATTACTTTGGAACTGCATAGTTTCAAGTACATTACTTACCCTTTCTGGAGTCCCGGTTTTCTTGATGGTATAATGGGAATGTTAGTATTTATCCCATAGGGTTATGGTGAGGTGTAAATGCTTGCTCAGGTTTTTATGAGAATTAAATGAGATAATTCACATAAGGCTTTTAGTACCCTGCTTGACACATGTAGTTCAGGACTCAAATGGTCTCCATAACTCTTAGCAAACTGGATTACCTTTGGGTTATCTGAGCATTACCTGCTTTACTGTTTATTCCTGGACCACATGAGGCTTCCCCTTTTTTCATAATAGTCTGTTGCCTGCAGCCTAAGAAGTCATGCACAGGCATTATTTTGCTTCAAGTTGCTTAATGTGGCATGTTTATATTACAGCTTGTTTACAAGGTGAAATCCAATGATATATTAGAGAGATTAGCCTTGAGTTCTGCAGACACCAGCGAGCAGACCGAATGGCAAAAACTCGTAGATGAAGCTAAGGAAAATCTACATAAAATCCAGGTGTGTTTTCCCTGTTTTGTGTGAGAGTATTCAGATTGATGGACTGATCAACATTAGGTCGCCTTACTGTGTCTGGCATTTCTGAAACAGGATGATGAATTTGTGGTGAATTACTGCTTGGAGGCTCAGTGGCTAACCTATGAAACAACCCAGGAAATGCTAAATTATGCCAAAACCAGGGTAAGTTTTTATAACATTTTTACCTGTTAGTCTCATGCAAAAGAAACCATCTCAAAAAAAATGAATTCTGGGGGCGCCTGGGTGGCTCAGTTGGTTAAGCGACTGCCTTCAGCTCAGGTCATGATCCTGGAGTCCCGGGATCGAGTCCCGCATCGGGCTCCCTGCTCGGCAGGGAGTCTGCTTCTCCCTCTGACCCTCCTCCCTCTCATGCTCTCTGTCTCTCATTCTCTCTCTCAAATAAATAAAATCTTTAAAAAAAAAAAAAATTCTGTCTCCATCACAGACATTTTTGCCATAGGCTCCCCTCAGTGAGCTTTGAATACCGCTGCTAGTTATATTCCTTAAAATCAAGGTGTAACAGATGGGCAAAATACTGTGAGCTGTTTCCATAAGATGCATTGTTTTTTTAAGATATGTCATTTCTTTATCGTTCACTGTTCATCTCAGATTTCAATGTGATCTGATAATTTGTTTCCTTTCACAGAAAATCCATCTTCTTTCATGAAAAAAACTAATATAGCAGATATTCTAACATTGTTTCTCATTGTTCATCTTAGCTTTTGAAAAGAGAAAATAAAACTGTTCCTGTCTATTCTGATGGTTTAAAAGAGGTAATTACATTATACTTAATTTGAGGGTAAATTTACCTTTACAATATGTTTTTCAATTCAAGATAGACCTGTGTTTTTTCAAGAGCAACTTATTTTAATTCTTGTTTCCTTACTGAAAAATGGGGATAATAATAGTACTTATAGGGTTATCTTGAAATCAAATGAAATAATTCATATAAACCATTTTGCATAGTGTCTGGCACTGGTTAAGCACACAAATGTTAACTGTTATGATGACTATCATGGTTTAAACTCTTATTTCAAAGTAAATTTTTGGTATAATCCAACTGGATTTTAACATAGGGCATTTATAAGTCACTGGGAAAAGTAATTAATTTTGAGGGGCACTTACAATCAATGTGTAAATGCCTTCTCTTTTGCAGTTTTATTGCACTGAATGTTACTGGAAATGTTTCCATTATTCCAAGGTTCTTTTTGTAACATTTATGAGAATTGACCTATAATATGGGATGAAATGAGCATGTGTGTAAGACTTCTGAAACAGAAAGCCTAATTTTTGGTGTTTTTAATTTTCTTGCATATGACATTCAGATTATCAGGTTATTTCTTTTTAGGTACTAAGGGCTCATGCAAAATTGACTACTTTTTATGGAGCATTTGGACCAGAAAAATTCAGGTGTGTACATTCCTCATTTTTTATTTTTAGATTATGAATTAGGTTTTAGTTTAGAATATCATAAAAGATAAAGTATTGCTTTGACTGAATGTGTTTCTGGGAATCGGGTGATGGAAAATATTATTTTCCTGCTAGGTTGTAGATACTCTTCTACACCATCTATGGGAACTGATAAATTTGAAAGGCAAACTTAAATGCACATATCTGGGGCTCATGGGTGGCTCAGTTGTTAAGCGTCTGCCTTCGGCTCAGGTTATGATCTCAGGGTCCTGGGATTGAGCCCCACATTGGGCTCTCTGCTCCGTGGGAAGCCTGCTTCTCCCTCTCCCACTCTCCCTGCTTGTGTTCCCTCTCTCACTGTCTCTCTCTGTCAAAAAATAAATAACATCTTTAAAAAAATAAAAATAAATGCACATATCTTTGCCTTAACAATTTCACTTCTGGCAGTTGATTCTATTAGATATGCTAACATGTGCACCAAGAATATCATTATTTACACAAATGAGATATAGTTATCTTAAATATAATATAAGTTTATTTGCCAAATTAACAATGACGGGAAGCTTTATTTTTTTCCTTGTGGCTAGTCAATCCCCCTTTCCCTGCTAGTTGCAGTGTTAGGCTAACAATCTGACATGTATTTGTCTATCTCTGGACTTGGTATTCAGTTGATTTTATGGTATTCATTCACCAGTATCATATAGGGGTTTTTTTTTTTTCAAAATTTTATTTATTTATTTGAGAGAGAGAGAGAGCACGAGTCGTGGGAAGGGGCAGAGGGAGAAGGAGAAACAGACTCCCCACTGAGCAGGGAGTCTGATGCGGGGCTTGATCCCAGGACCCTGAGATTGTGACCTGAACCGAAGGTAGATCCTTAACCAACTGAGCCACCCGGGTACCCACCAGTATCATATGTTTTAATTAATGTAATTTTAGAATGCCCTGTTATCTGGTAGACTAGCCCTGCTATACTTTCCTACTTTTCAGAATTTGGGGAGCAATTTTCTCATATTCGATTTTTTGTATGACATTTAGAATGAGAATCACCTTACCCAGTTTATTTGTTTTTTTTAAATTTAAATTCAATTAATTAACATATAGTGTATTGTTAGTTTCAGAGGTAGAGGTCAGTGATTCATCAGTCTTATAAGACTCATTACATCACATGCCCTCCTTAATGTCCATCACCCAGTTACCCCATGCCCCATCCTCCTCCCCTCCAGCAACTCTCAGTTTGTTTCCTATGATTAAGAGTCCCTTATGGTTTGTTTCCCTCTCTGATTTCGTCTTGTTTTATTTTTCCCTCCCTTCCCTATGATCCTCTGATTTGTTTCTTAAATTCACATATGAATGAGATCATATGATAATTGTTTTTCTCTGATTGCATAATACCATCTAGTTCCTTCCATGTCATTGCAAATGGCAAGATTTCATTTCTTTTGATGGCTGAGTAGTATTCCATTGTATAGATATACCACGTCATCTTTTTTTTTTCTGACAAAGGATTTGTTTTTAGAACATAGGAAAACCATCTACAAACTAATAATACAAAGGCAAGCAGCCTAGTAAAACCAAAACATGGGCAAAGCACTTGAACACACATGACAAAAGAAGATCTATGAATGACCAGTAAATACATGAAAAGTCAAACATGGGATTACCCTGCAATCTAGCAATGCTCCTACATCTTTACCCAAGAGAAATAAAAAATGCATTTTTTTTAAAGATTTTATTTATTTATCTGAGAGAGAGAATGAGCAGGGGGGAGAGGCAGAAGGAGGGGGAGAAGCAGACAGGGAGCAGGGAGCCCGCCAAGCAGGGAGCCCAACTCGGGACTTGATCCCAGGACCCCAAGATCATGACCTGAGCCAAAGGCAGATGCTTAACTGATTGCGCCACCCAGGTGCCCCTAAAAATGCATTTTTATTCATAGTAGCCAAACACTGGTAATAATCCAAATATCCATCAACAGAACAATAGATGTACAACTGTGATGTGTTCGTACAAAAGAATAGTGCTCAGCAATAGAAAGAACAGACTACTGACACACACACAACAACATGGACTTATCTTTGAAACATTATGCTTGCAAGGGTCCTGCAGTTGGAAGAATAACAGCCCCTTAAAGATGTCCAGGTCCAAATCCCCATAATCACTTGGCAAAATGACCATAATATGATGAAGGTTGAGATGGGGAGATAACTTGGGATCACTCGAGTCCTTAAAAGCAGAGAAAGCCTTCCTGGCTGTGGTCAGAGGGAGATATAACAAAGGATGAATGGTCAGAGATACAACGTTGCTGATTTTGAAGATGGAAGAAGGGACAACAAGCCAGGGAATATGGGTGGTCTCTAGAGGCTGAAAAAGGCAAGGAAAGAGACTCTTCCCTAGAGACTCCACAAAGGAACAGCTCTGCCAACACCTTGACTTTGACCCACTGAGAACACTTATTGGACTTTTTTTAAATTTTATTTTTTTAAGATTTTATTTATTTATTTATTTAAAAATTTTTTTTTTTAATTTTTAGATTTTATTTACTTATTTGAGAGAGAGAGAGACAGAGATAATGAGAGCACAAGTGGGGAGGAGAGGGAGAAGCAGGCTCCCCACAGAGCGAGGAGCCTGACGCAGGGCTCGATCCCAGGACCCCCGGGATCATGACCTGAGCCGAAGGCAGACACTTAACCGACTGAGCCACCCAGGCACCCTAAGATTTTATTTATTTTTTTAACAGCGAGAGACACAGTGAGAGAGGGAACACAAGCAGGGAGAGTGGGAGAGGGAGAAGCAGGTTTCCCACTGAGCAGGGAGCCCAAAGCAGGGCTTGATCCCAGGACCCTGAGATCATGACCTGAGCCGAAGGCAGATACTTTACTGACTGAGCCACCCAGGCGCCCCACTTTTTGGACTTTTAACACACAAACCTGTAAGATAATAAATTTCTGTGGTCTTAAGCAGTTAACTTTGTAGTAATCTCTTACAGCAGCAACTAGAAACAATCTTCACTGGTTTTCTTATTTTGAGATTTGATTCAAGTGTATGTTTTAATTCCTTCAAACCAATATTTTCCTAAGTTTTTTTGTTTGTTTCTTTCTGTTTTTATTCCTACTCTTTTTTTTTTTAATTAAGTTCAATTAATTAACATATAATGTATTATTTGTTTCAGGGGGTACAGGTCTGTGATTCATCAGTCTTATATAACACCCAGCGCTCACCACAACACATACCCTCCCCAATGTCCATCATCGAGCCACCCCATCTCCCCCCCTGCCCCAAGCAACGCTCAGTTTGTTTCCTAAGATTAAGAGTCTCTTACAGTTTATCTCCCTCTCTGGTTTTGTCTTGTTTCATTTTCTCCTCTCCTCCCCTATGATCCTCTACCTTGTTTCTTAAATCCCTCATATCAGTGAGATCATATGATAATTCTCTTTCTCTGATTGACTTATTTTGCTTAGCATAATACCCTCTAGTTCCATTCACATCGTTGCAAATGGCAAGATTTCATTTTTTGATGGCTGAGTAGTATTCCATTGTATAGCTATACCACATCAACCTTATCCATTCATCTGTCGATGGACGTCTGGGCTCTTTCCATAGTTTGGCTATTGTGGGTATTGCTGCTCTAAACATTGGGCTGCACATGCCCCTTCGGATCCCTACATTTGTATCTTTGGGGTAGTACCTTACCCAGTTTAAAGAAATGTTATTTGGGGGGCACCTGAGTGTCTCAGTTGGTAAGTGTATGACTCCTGATCTCAGCTTGGGTTGTGATCTCAGGGTCGTGAGATCGGGCCCTGCGTCACACTTCTTGCTCAATGCTGAGTCTGCTTGAGATTCTCTCCCTTCCTCTCCCTCTGCGGTACCCCTGCTTGTATGCATACACTCTCTCTGTCTAATAAAGATAGAAAATCTTTTTTAAAAATCCTTTTTTATTAGGATTTTAAATTTTTACTTATTTTTTTTTTATTGGGAGTATGCTGAACTGAAGATCAATTTGGGGAGAACCCTCATCTTTATAGTATTGAATCTTCCAATTTAAGGACATTATGTGTCTTACTTATTCTGTCCTTTTTTTATGTTCCTGAATGGTATCCACTCGGTTGTCTTTTTTTTTTAATTCATTTTTTATTTTATTTATTTATTTTTAAAGATTTTATTTATTTGACAGAGAGAGAGAGAGCGAGAGAGGGAACACAAGCAGGGGGAGTGGGAGAGGGAGAAGCAGGCTCCCCACTGAGCAGGGAGCCCAATGCAGGGCTTGATCCCAGGACTCTGAGATCATGACCTGAGCCGAAGGCAGACGCCCAATGACTGAGCCTCCCAAGCAGCCCTATTTTATTTTAGAGAGAGGGAAGGAGATGGACAAGCAGACTCCCTGCTAAGTGCAGAGCCCAACGCAGGGCTCAATCCCAGGACCCCGAGATCATGCATGAGCTGAGTCAAAATGAAGAGTTAGATACTTAACTGAGCCACCCAAAATGAGCCACCCAGGCACCCTTCATTCATTTTAAAAACTTAATAGGAGTTCCTGGGTGGCTCAGTCAGTTAAGTATCTTACTTCAGCTCAGGTCGTGATCTCGGGGTCCTGCGATCGAGCTCTGCATCGATCTCTCTGCTCAGTGGGGAGTCTGCTTTGCCCTCTCCTTCTGTGCCTTCCTGGATTCTTGCTCTCACTTGCTTGCTCTTTCTCTCTCTCTCTCAAATAAATAAAATCTTTATTAAAAAAAACACTTAAAATAATTGCTTCTATATGCAGTGATTATCTCAGGAAGGACCTATAAGAAGAGATATGACTTTCAGGGAGGATGACAGGAGTTCTAGAAGTCTGGGATAAGAAGGAAACTACTTTTTACTGTATAATCTTTGGAACTTTTTTTTAAACTTTGAGGGGGGAAAAAAACCCCAAACTACTAGTTAAAATGTCTAATGGTATCCACTTGTAACATTATGATCTTAATTTTTTTTTTTAACTACAAACTTTTCCTTCTCTGACTTTGCAGTGGTAGTTCTTGGATTGAATTTCTGCATAATGAAGACGACCTTAAGGATATCTTTTTACAGCTAAGAGAAGGAAACCTTGTTTGTGCACAGTACCTTTGGCTTCGACATCGGGTAATCTGTTTTGCATTTTGTTGTTAATGGCTTTATGGCTCCTGGGATAGGTGATTGAATCTGTTGTCTTCACATGGATGAAGGGTGTCAGGTGCGATTAGGAAATGGAATGTTTGATAAAATTATCCTGATGATATTAAATTAGAGGTGAAGATGTCTTAGAAACGTGTTTTATCTCATTCAGAGTCTAACTCCTAAACTTAGCTCAAAAGGCAACATTTTGGGGCACTTGGCAGGCTCAGTTGGTGGAGCATGTGACACTTGATCCCGGGGTTGTGGGTTCGAACCCCACATTGGGCACAGATATTACTTAAAAATAAAATCTTAAATAAAAAGGCTACGTGTTATTGAATGATTTATTGATGGGCTTTCTTAAGTAGTTTTGGTGGAGAGGTGGTTCCTATTGCAGCTCAGACTGTGTAAAGGATTGTGCATTAGCACTTCTGCTCTGATTCCTTCAACGTTGGCAGGTATCATTAGGTCCAAAAAGTGGTATCTTGGTGTGATGTCATTCATGGACACATTGCTTGTTAGGATTTGTACTGTCAGCTCCTATTAAGTTTTCCTTCCTCTGACAGTTCCACTGCCCCCTAATTTTTTAGTTGGTACTTGTTGCCATGAGAGTTCATGGATTTGTGGCTGCCAAGGACTCATCGGTATAGAGTAAATCACTCTTAGTGCTTATAATTAAGACAGTAAAATATTTCTTGAAATGACTTCCTAACAAGTCTTTCCATTTTGGGAGGCTGTTATTTTCAATCTGTCTGATAGATCTTAATTTCTCACTCTGTATAATTTAGGCAAATTTTGAAAGCAAATTTGACGTGAAAATGCTTGAGAACTTGCTCAACTCAATTTCTACACCAGTCTCTTTGCAAAAGCTTTGCCCATGGCTTAAAAATGATGTGATCCCATTTGTGAGAAGGGCTGTACCTGAAGGGCAGGTGAGTTGCCTTCATCATTTCCACTCTAGATGATTCAGGTCTAGCCTTTGCCTTATATCACTGAAGAGTAAACTAACACCAGGTAGTTCATTCAGTGTGTCTGTCGAAATATTATCATGAGGGTTTTAAATTATTTCAGTGATTATCTGCTGAGGATTTTATTTTTAAATAATACGTCTGTTTCAGAAAATTCTTGCAAAATGGTTGGAACAGGCATCCAGGAACCTTGAATTAACTGATAAGGTAATACCCAGTATAATTAGCACTGAAAAGACATTTCACATACTCCCAGTGGCATATAACATTACTTATAATGGTCTGTGTTACTCTTTAAAGGCAAATTGGCCCGAAAATGGACTTCAACTGGCGGAGGTATTTTTTACAGCAGAAAAACCAGATGAGTTGATGTTGATGTCCTGTTGGCATTGGATTTCCTTGGTATGGTATAGAAAATGAATTTCCAGTAATGAAGCATTCACTTTATTTTAAAGGATTTGTGTACATGTACTTAGAAATACATCCACTTTTAAATTTTCTGTTTGTGTTCTTTTATTGTGTACTTTTAAAATTCACAAAAAGAAAAATGTGCTTTTTTTCTTCCTGATATTTCTATCACAACTTCAGCCTATTTTAATGCTTTGTTTTTCTCTATTGAACCAACCAAATGGGAAACGATATGTAAACATACACCTCAATAGTACAATTGAAATTTTCTGCATTGGCCGAAGTTCACAGTCCTTTAAAGGAATGAAATTTAATAATGCTTTAGGATTAGTTTTCAAGGACTTATTTAAACCAGCAAATTACTCCCAGTTCTGATTGCATTTCTTAGGCGTTCCAATAGCCATTATGGCTTAAGAACTAGTGAATTTTTTAAAAAGATCAAATTAAAAAAAAATGCTGGGACTTTTTTGACTGAAAAAAATAGCAGTGCTAGAAAGGTTACTAAGCTCAGGAATACTGATGTTATATTTGATGTTAATTTGAGGTTCATGAACTGGATTTATTATTTGGCTTCTAAATTTCTTAAGTTAATTTCTTTTTCCCCTTTAGGTTTCTAAAAACTAGAAAGCATTCATTATATTGAAAAAAAAAGAAAAGTACATTCTTGTATTTTAAAGATTTTTTTTTAATGTATTCATTTGAGACAGAGAGATACAGAGAGAGAGAGAGAGAGCATGAGCAGGGGGAGGTGCAGAGGGAGAGGGAGAAGCAGGCTCTCCGCTGAGCAGGGAGCCGGATGTGGGACTTGATCCCAGGACCCTGGGATCATGACCTGAGCCAAAGGCAGAGGGTTAACCATTTGAGCCACCCAGGTGCCCCCATTCTTATATTTTAAAAAAGTTTGTTGGGGTGCCATAAATTAGTTTATAAACTAATATGTGCGACATCCCAATATGATCTCAACTCGGAAGTATTAAGAACTTAAGTACCAGAGGGTAGAATTTATATAATAATATACATTATGAAATTGCACCTATTCCTTAAATTTCTAGAGCCTAAAAATAAATAATAAACTTCCTCCTGCTTTCTGATATAGCAGATTCCTGCCAATAATTGTACTTACTGGTTATACACTGTTAAAAATTAAACAGGAATTTTTTTCTATACATTTCAAGCAGCATATTAATGTATATAATCAATATATATTATGATATATAATGTATATTGATCATTATAATACATTTTTCCAGAGAAGAGCTTTTTCCTCTTGCTATAAAACACTATTCTATCTTTTCCCTGTTAATTGTCTTTATCAAGGGGCGCCTGGGTGGCTTAGTCCTTAAGTGTCTGCCTTCAGCTCAGGTCATGATCCCAGCATCCTGGGATCGAGCCCCACATTGGGTTCCCTGCTCAGCGGGAAGCCTGCTTCTCCCTCTCCAGCTCCCCCTGCTTGTGTTCCCTCTCTCTCTGTCTCTCTCTGTCAAATAAATAAATAAAATCTTTAAAAAAAAAATTGTCTTTATCAATATTGAAAATTCTGTTCCTTATATATAAGTTTAGGAAATGTTATAGCTTTACATCTCGTCTTGATCTATATAGATGGGACACTGAGGGCCATCTAAATGATGTTTTTGTACCTAAGTGTAAAATATCACACTAACATTCAGGGGCACCTGGCTAACTCAGTTGGTGGAGTGTGAGGGTTTAGGTTCAAGCCCCATGTTAGTGGAGATTACTTAAAAAATGAAATCTTAGGGGAGCCTGGGTGGCTTAGTCAGTTGAGTGTCCAGCTCTTGATTTAAGCTCAGGTTGTGATCTCAGCGTCGTGAGATTGAGCCCTGCATCAGGTTCCACACCGAGCATGGAACCTACCTAAGATTCTCTTTCTCCCTCTGCCCCTCCCCTCTAAAAAGAATCTTAAAAGAAAAAATTACACTAACATTGAAGTTCTTTTTTTTTTTCTTCTTTAAAGACTTATTTATATTAGAGAGAGAGCGCAAGCAGAGGAGAGGCAGAGGGAGAGGGAGAGAATCCTCAATCAGACTCCCTGCTGAATGCAGAGCCCAACTTGGGGCTCGATCCCAGGACCCTGAGATCACGACCTGAGCCAAAATCAAGAGTCAGACGCTTAACTGACTAAGCCAATCAGGTGTCCCTAACATCGAAGTTTATATAAATAAATATATATATATTTTTTGTTGTTGTTGTTGTTAGAAAATTGTTTTAGATTTCTGTTGAATTTTGATCTGTTAATTTGTACTAGTTAATGAATTAAAATTCTACAAAATTATAGGCATTAGGTGCAGATTTCCTCTTATGTACATAATCATGGTCATTTTTTATTTTATCTGAAATAATTCTGATTTTTTGTCTATTTCCCCTCTCACACTTTTGTTTTAGAAGGATTATCAAAATACAGAGGAAGTATGTCAGCTAAGGACTTTGGTAAATAACTTGCAGGAGTTGATCACATTGCATAGGAAATACAACTGCAAATTGGCCCTCTCTGATTTCGAGAAGGTAAAAGTCTAGATTTATCAGAAGTGTTATTTTTTAATCACAGCCACTATGATTAGAACTTGCATCAAGCCACCTTTCTCTTGGCATCCAGGAGAATACAACCACCATTGTGTTCCGCATGTTTGATAAAGTGTTAGCCCCAGAGCTGATTCCTTCCGTCTTAGAGAAGTTTATACGAGTTTACATGCGGGAACATGGCTTACAAGAGGAGGAACTTCTCCTGCTCTACATAGAGGTAACTTCTTTAGATCTGGTCTTTTCCCCTTGCATCTGTGTGTCATTGGTTAAACATTTAACCCTATAGGGAATGTCATGCTTTACCATTGGGATATTTATGCAGCATATTGTATTTGTTAATGTGGCATAACTGTTACAGATTGACTGGTAACCTTGGGCAGAATGGGATAATATTAGGACTTTCTCCAAATGCTTATTGTGAGATAATAGGAGCATGAGCTCAATAGATGTGAGCAATTTTTGGTATACATTAATAAGCTGCAATCATCTCATTTGTAGATTCTTCAAGAATATTTCCTTCTTAAGTTTTCTGTACCATATAAAACTAAAAGCCCAGGCTTTGGCAATTTTGTGTTTTTTTTGAGCATTGTTTAACATTCTTGGCTAAGTAGTTGTTTTTTTTTTTTTTCCACATCCATAAAAGCTATTTATTTTTTTATGTGTTTTTACTTTTTTTTTTAGTGAGAGTTTTAAATTTAAAAAATATATATGTTTATCCCCTTTTAGGATTTATTGAAGAGATGTAGCTCAAAGTCCACATCACTCTTTGAAACTGCGTGGGAAGCAAAAGCCATGGCAGTAATAGGATGTTTGTCGGATACAGATGTAAGTAAATAGTGACCATGTCGATTTTCCTTTTGAGCATCACATCTTTTCTTAAAACTTGTTCTCTGATCACAAAGGCAATGCACATTTGTTAAGGAGAATTTGTGAAGTTTAGAAAAAGAAAAAAAAAAAAAAACACCCATAATTCCATTTTCTTTAATTATAGAAAGTAAGAAGTAAACATTTTCTCATTCCCATCCCTAGAAAAATTGCCATGGATGTTTGGATGCCTATATTTCTAGGTCTTTCTATGATTATACAAACATGGACACATTTTTTAAATCTGTTATGACACGCTTTTGTAGTGACTTCCCATTGTTATTGATCACCATTATAAAGCGTAAATAAAATCATGAAAAATAGTTTTAAACACAGAGACTAGAGACTGTAGAAAGGAATAGAGCTATATGACTTCACTTTCAGCAGAGAAAACACTTTTCTGAGTTTCTCTAAATAATGAAATTGCTCTTGATGTGTGAGAATCAGAAGAAACATACATTTTTGCAGTCAGAGGAGATACTCTCAGAGTACCACAGAGTAGATGTAAGTCCTCTGTTGTAGATGAGGCGGTGTCATTACTTTGCAAGAAACATGTATCCCGGCTCTTCACGGTCTGTGTGTGTGTATCTTCACAGCTCATCTTCGATGCTGTGCTTAAGATAATGTATGCGGCGGTGGTTCCCTGGAGTGCAGCTGTGGAGCAGCTGGTGAGACAGCACTTAGAAATGGACCATCCCAAGTAAGAGGACATTCTCCCATATAGTGGTGTTGGTGTTGGATAAGCCTCCTGTTTTCATCTGACATTCATTTACGCTTTATGCCCTTTACTGTGTCCCTTAGTATTTCATTTAAAAAAAAAATTAGACCATCCATGTTAATATCAACAAATCTTTCGGGTGCCCGGGTGGCTCAGTCAGTTGAGCATCTGTCTATTGATTTCGGCTCAGGTCATGATCTCAGGGTCCTGGGATCAAGCCCCATGTCGGGCTCTGAGTTCAGCGCAGAGTCTGTTTGTCCCTCTCCCTCTGCCCCACCCCCCCCGTGCTAGCTTACTCGCTCTCTTGCTCTCTCAAAGAAATGAATAAATAAAATCTTTTTAAAAATCACTTGAAAAATATCAACAAATTTCCTTTTAGAGTCAAGTTATTGCAGGAAAGTTACAAACTAATGGAGATGAAAAAACTTTTACGAGGCTATGGAGTAAGGGAGGTGAACCTCCTAAATAAGGAAATCATGGTAAGTACAGTAGTTGAAGCGTCTTGAACCCTGCTGTTCGATTCTGAGGGCAGCTTGGGAAATGTAATGAGCACTTTATTTTCTTAAAGGCTAACAGAGCTAGGTTTTCCACTACTATCCTTTTGTTAGAGTGTGAATAGGGTGTTCAGGGGTGCCTGGATGGCTCAGTAGGTGGAGCGTACAACTCTTGATCTCAGGATCATGAGTTCAAGCCCTACACTGGGTGCAGAGATTACTTAAATAAAACTTTAAAAAAATAATAAAATATTCTTTAAAAATTAGGTATTCACTTGTTTATTAGGATAGTAAAGATAACAAATACATTAAGAAGCTAAAGGAGTATATCACATCATTCCATTGTACACCTTAAATATATGCAGTGTTTGTCACTTATATACCCCATAAACCTGTGGGGGGAGAAGGTAGACAGGACTATAATAAAATTCAGAATATAAATCATTTTTTAATTTTTCATACAGCTTAGTTTTTTTGCAGCTTGATTATAATTTGATGAGTACTTTGCCTTTATGAACAAAGGATTTCTGGGTTCTCTGAGATTTCATAATGAAGAAATGTATATATTGTCTCTGCTTCAGAGGGTGGTCAGATACATTCTCAAGCAAGATGTCCCATCTTCTTTAGAAGATGCTTTGAAGGTGGCTCAAGCATATATGTTGCCTGATGATGAAATTTACAGTCTAAGGATTATTGACCTGATTGATAGAGAACAGGTATGAAAGTTCTGTATTGTCCTTTCTTAGGCTCTTTATTAAGTAAATCTGTAAAAGCTCGAGTCAATCAAATTATCCGAATAGATTAGCACAAAAGAAAGTTATACCAAGGGGCACCTGGGTGGCTCAGTCAGTTAAGCGTCACCTTCGGCTCAGGTCATGACCCCAGGGTCCTGGGATCGAGCTCCCTGCTCAGTGAGGAGTCTGCTTCTCCCTCTCCCTCTCCCACTGTTTACGCTCTCTCTCTTTCACTCATTCTCTCTCAAATAAATAAATAAAATCTTCTAAAAAAAAAAGAAAGTTATATGAAGATGAAAATACTGGATGTTAGATTAACCACATTCTTCATATCTGTAGGTTCTTTAAAAATATTTTGTGACTAGCTGTTGTGCTTTCATACTCTTTGGTGTTTATGAAACATAGACTCGTGTTTTATATACACTGTAGTACCCTTTGATTCCAGAATAGGATGTGCATTTTCTTTTTGTATTTTAAATGTCTTTATTTTAATATAATTCTATAACCATGAGCATATTTAAGAATTACAAAATACAAAGGGTTGTACTTGAATTTAATTTTGTTTGCTGTCATCAAAACCAGTTATCAGCTTTTTTAAAACATCAGACCATATTCTATTTTTTTAAATGCTGTCTTTTCACCTTTAAATAGAAAAAAGCAAGAGTTAAGTCTAAACTGTCCTTTACAAGTACCAGCTGTTTTTTCTTCCTTTCAAACACTGTTTATAGGGTGAAGACTGTGTCCTTCTGTTGAGGTCTTTGCCTCCTGCTGAAGCTGAGAAAACTGCAGAACGGGTAATCATATGGGCACGGTTGGCATTACAAGAAGAACCAGATAATTCTAAAGAGGTGAGATTTTCATTAAAATATAGATAAATCCAATATTTATGGATAGTAATCAACAGGATAGAAAAGATAGATAAGCAGATAGGAATATCTTCTCTTCTCACTGCTAGAATGTCCTAATGTAAAAATCCCTGTGTAAATTTACTACATAGAAAAGAACCACATATGGCTACTTTGGAGCAATGGCTTGAGTCCCCCCTGAATAATCTAGGATCTACAAACCAGAAGGATTAATTGAAGTAATTGTTGTACACAAAGGGTTTTCCATAAAGCTTTGCAATATAAACATGTTTTGTGTTGTATAAGACATAGTCATTACTGTCAAATAATGTCAGCCACACTCAGTCGATTAAGCATCCAACTCTTAGTTTTGGCTCAGGTCATGATCTCATGGGTCATGAGATCGAGCCCCACATCAGGCTTCAAGCTCAGCAGGGAGTCTGCTTGAAGATTCTCTCCCTCTGCCCCGCCCCCCCACTTGCTCATGGTCTCGCTCTAAAATAAATAAATAAATCTTAAAAAGAAATATGTCAGCCACAGAACGCATGGATATCTAAGTAATCTTAGAACATTGAGACTTGAAACAGTTTCAAGAGCGTCAGTTCTCTTCTTTAGAGAGGTGAGGAACCAAATACCTAATTTATCCAGGATAGTTGAGGGTTTTTTTTATCCTTTAGAGATAGAGATCCCCAACCTGTCTCAGCAGTCCATCTCAGTAATTTTTTGCCTTTAGGGAAATGAGTTTGGCTATTTTGGCATCTAATAGTTATTATGCTCTTATTATGCTGGAGGCCTTAGGTTGAATACTTTGAATGAATTGTCCACTTCCTCTTCGCAACAAAGTTGTGAGATAGTTCGTATTGTCAGCTCCTTATAGATTAAGTTCAGAAACTAACATTTTGAGTTAAGTGACTTTCGCAAGGTTATTACATAGTGGCAGAACCTCAACTCAAACTCTGTCTGATACCAGAGTTCGTATTCTTAACTACCAGCTGTACCCCGTAAGGGAAATGTTTGAGTACTTTGTGTGGACCTGGCACTTTCGAAGCATTTCATGTACACCATGTCTTTAATTAAAGCTTTTCCTTCTTTGATTTTTCTTGTCTTTTTGTTTATTTTAATCTTGTCGGTCTTGAAGATAATGATTATTTCTTAGACTTTCCTTCTCTAAGCTTAAACAACTTCAGTTCTTTTTAACTTTTTCAGAGAATTTTGCCAAATGTTTTGTCAAATAATAAATAACTATTTAAAAAAAAAAGCGAAACCCAAGTGACTGTTAATTATAGTGTAGCCAAAAGGTGATTTGGGAGATTTGCATATTCTTAGTATTTCTAAATCATATACCCAAGCGTTCATACTGGTGTTTTTCATGTTTACATTCTGTGTGATTCAGTTATGATCCATTTCTCAGCTGCCTGACTCCCTCTAACATTGACCTCCCATTTCTTCAGCCATTTTTACTTTTTTTTCTGATTTTGTGGCTTTTATGTATTTGTCTGTATGTGTACTAGTGAAGTGGTGAATAAAGGAAGTAGATTTCATTTTCTACTTTTCTTTTTAGGACAAGGCCTGGAGAATGTCCGTAGCGAAGACATCTGTAGACATTCTTAAAATACTGTGTGACATCCGGAAAGGTAGATTGTACCTCTCTGCCCTCATCTTGGTTTTATTCTGAAGCTTGCCTTTTTCAGGAAGGAGCATCAGTGACAGGCCTTGTTCTTACCCCTGGTTTTTGTGGCTTTCAGTGTCTTCGTTGATCCCACTCATTTTTCCTCGTGAAAAGTCTTCCTTGCTTTATTCTTTTGATTACTAGTGTAAAAACAGAAGCATCTAAAATCATCTTATTGACTTATATGCTTCAGTAAGCTATTTAAGGCTAGACTAGATTCTTCAGTGCCTTGCACTTATTGCTCATATTTCTCAGTTACTATTTGGCCACGATCAGGCAAAAACCTATTTAAACTTGAACTTAAGTAAAACATTAACAAAGAAAGGCTCTTGGAGAAAAAAGCTACAATTTATTTCAGAAAAATTGTCATTTCTCTTGTTACCCATAAATTTCTCTTTTCTACCTTCAGAAAGAATAATTAGATTTCTTTTTGTACTTAAATTCTCTTACCTCAAGCTTCTGAAAAGACTTGAGATAAGAAAACCATAGCCAATTAAAATTTTAGCTTTCAAAAATTCTGATAATATGGGAATTTGGATGTCTGCTATAACTTTAAAAAATTTAATTACAGACAATCTACAGAAGAAGGATGAATGTGAAGAAATCCTGAAACTATTTAAAGTTGTTGCTAGCTTACAGGTAAAGATGTTGTTGGTATATTGAACATTATTACTTTACTAATTACATTACTAATCATGAATTTGACATAAATGATTAGTCCTTAAAATTTTCTGTACTAGCCTTTGGGAATTCTATTTTATTTATTTTATTTTTTTAAATTTTTTTTTTTTTTAAAGATTTTATTTATTTGACAGAGAGAGATACACAGCGAGAGAGGGAACACAAGCAGGGGGAGTGGGAGAGGGAGAAGCAGGCCTCCTGCAGAGCAGGGAGCCCAATGCGGGGCTCGATCCCAGGACTCTGGGATCATGACCTGAGCCGAAGGCAGACGCTTAACGACTGAGCCACCCAGGCGCCACCGCCTTTGGGAATTTTAAATACAGCATAATGGTTTTCCTTTTCTCTGTCTCGGTCATTTAAAAAGCAACCTTATGGAAATATAATTCATATACCATACTGTTCATCGATTTAAAGTGTATAATTCGGGGCACTTGGGTGGCTCATTCGATTAAGTGTCTGCCTTCGGCTCAGGTCGTGATCCCAGGACCCTGGGATCAAATCCTGCATTGGGCTCCCTGCTCAGCGGGAAGCCTGCTTCTCCCTCTCCCTCTGCCCCTCCCCCAGCTCATGTTGTCACTCTCTCTCTCTCTCAAATAAATAAATAAAATTTAAAAAAAAACAAACTTCCATGAAAAAAATAAAGTATAATTCATTGGTTTGGGTATATTATATTATTAAGTTTTCATAATTGTGGTAACAATGTAAAATTTGCCATTTTTACCATTTTTCAATATATAGTTCAGTGGCATTAATTACAATGTTATATGACCTTCAACACTATCTGCTTTTCATCACCTCCAGCAGAAACTCTGCTTTTTATGCATTTTATCCATTTTTATCCATTAAGCAGTAACTCCCCACTTCCCTTTCCCTCCAGCTTCTGGTAACCTCTGATCTACTTTCTGTCTCTGAATTTGCCTATTCTGTATATTTCCTATACAAGGGGAAGCATACAATAATTATCTTTTGTGTCTGGCCTCTCTCAGGCAGCATGATGTTTTCAAGGTTCATCCACAGTGTAGCAGGTTTCAGTGCTTTGTTCCTTTTTATGGCTGAATCATGTTCCACTGTATGGATGGACCACATTTTATTTATTCTTCTGTTGATGGACCCTTGGGTTGTTTCTACTTTTTGGCTTCTGTGAGTAGTGCTGCAGTGAGCATGGTGAGCTAGTCACCTGAACCACTACTCATACCCCACCTGTTTTACCCCAGTACCCTTGCTTATCCTATTTGGCACTGTCTGAGCAGCAGTAAACAGTTAAAATAAGATCACTAAAAATATATGTAATACACACATATATATATCCTTTAAAAATCATGAAATGTATTGACTCTACACAGAAGTTGCATTCCTTTGGGAAAAGATGCACATTGAAAAAAGAGAAACTGGGTACCTGGGTGGCTCAATTGGTTGGGCCACTGTGTTTGGCTCAGGTCATGATTCCGGGGTCCTGGGATCTAGTCCCACATCAGGCTCCCCCTGCTCTGCGGGGAGCCTGCTTCTCCCTCTTCCTCTGCCTGCTACTCCCCCTGCTTGTGCTCTCTCTCTCTTTCTTTGTCAAATAAATAAATAAAATCTTAAAAAAGAAAAAGGAGAAACCTCTTGGTTTAATCACTTCTGTGTTTATCTTTGACTAGATTATACATGGATGATACATAATTCAAAAGGTTTTAAAAAATGGTTAAAATGGTAAGTTTTAGGTTATGTTTATTTTACCACAATAAAAAATAAACTTACTAAAATTCTGTACTGCATGTTGTAAACAATAAGGCATTAATTCTTTGATCAAAAAAAGTTTTAAAAGAGTACATAGTGCAAAACAGGTCTTCCTTCTATCCTGACACTCCCACCTATCCAGTTTCCCACATTAGGTGCCACCATCACCAGTTTCTTGTGTATTTTTCCAGAGATAGTTTATGGTTATATAAGCAAAAACATTTCTGTGGTTCCTGGTAAGGCAGGAACTGCAACATATAAGGAATCTTATCTGTAGTAAACATAGGAAATACTGAATGTATTTCTATAAATAAGTATTTCTACATGATGCATCCCCTTTGGGAAAGATCACTGATATTTTGGGGAAAACATCAGTTTCAAAATTTTACATTTTATAAATATTGACTGCACCATAAGTTATGCAACAGTCAAAAATAATATTTGTGGTGAGGTGCCTGGGTGGCTCAGTTGGTTAAGCAATCAACTCTTGATTTCGGCTCAGGTCATAATCTCAGGGTCGTGGGATTGAGCCCCACGTCAGGCTCCGTGCTCAGCCGAGTCTGCTTCTCTCCCTCTGCCCCCACTCCCCCAGCTCACACATGCTCTCTCTCTCTCTCTCAAATAAATCATTAAAACATAATAGTAATATTTGTGGAATCTATGTAGTGATGAAGTGGAAAAGCCATAGTGTTAATTGGAGAAAGTAATATATGAAATTATCCATGTAGCCACAAAACGCTGGTAAAAGACACTCAGAAGAAATACCAAGCAAGTGGTCACTGCTTATTAGGTTAACCAATTCTCAACTCAGGTGTGTGTTTGTGCCCAGGGGACACTGAAGATATTTTTGGTTGTCACAAGTAGTGCCAGGAGGATGCTGGTGGCCTCCAGTAGCTAGTGGCCGGGGACGCTGCAATGCACAGGCAGCCCCCACAACAAAGAATGATCCGGCAAGATTGAGAAGCCTTGCTCTAAATGTGGCGTCAAAACAGAAGGTCTAGGGGTGCCTGGGTGGTTCATTTGGAAGAGCATGTGACTCTTGATTCCAGGATGGTGAGTTTGAGCCCCACATGGGGCGTAGAGATTACTTAAAAAAAGAAGAAGAAGAAGAAGGGCTGGGGCGCCTGGGTGGCTCAGTTGGTTAAGCGACTGCCTTCGGCTCAGGTCATGATCCTGGAGTCCCTGGATCGAGTCCTGCATTGGGCTCCCTGCTCAGCGGGGGGTCTGCTTCTCCCTCTGACCCTCCCCCCTCTCATGTGCTCTCTCTTTCTCATTCTCTCTGTCTCAAATAAATAAAATCTTAAAAAAAAAAAAAGAAGAAGAAGAAGGGCTGACTCACTTGCTACTTCTTGGTATCCTTCCATGGGCCTCAGTGGGATTTTTTTTATTGGGTCAGAAAAATAAATCTAGGTTTGGAATTAGCAGCCAACCAGGAGTTATTACAGAAAAGAGCAAAGCTGGGTTCTTAGAGCCACCAGGGTGGAATCACCCAAATCTAATACTTAATCTGTCTCTCCTGCTCTTCAGGGCTCCCCCACAACAGAGAATGATCTGACACTGAGAAAAGGTGTTGGTAGTGCTGACACAGAAAATCCTGGGTTAAAATGGCTTTTCCTATTTTCCAAACTGTTTATAATATCGTTACTTTCATAACTTGAAATATAAAATCTTAAATTCTTAATTTACAAGGGAGTGGTCTTTGAGGGAGAAATAAGGAGAGGTTTGAGCCTTGCCAATGGTTTTTAACAACAGATGAAGTGAACAGATGGGACATGCTGTCCTGCTTGCCTTGCTAGGTGAACTTCGAGGTCTTCCTGTCCTTTGGAGCTTACAGCAACAGTGCCCTGATCGCAGAGCTCCGGGAGCAGTACATCAAAGCTCACGAGGTCACACAGACCAAACACAAATCCCGGGGCACTGCAGAGCCTGCAGCTACGGAGGACAAGAGCCTTAGCGCTGAGTCCAAGCTACACAGACAGGCACTGGTGCTGCCGGTTTCCGTGCAAGAGCGGGAGGCCGAGCTGACCTTGAGAGCCTTAAACCACGGGAATCTGGACGCAGCACTGAGAAGGTGCAGGTAAGTCCCAGCCCTGTGCAGGCACGGCTTGTCTGGAGCAAGGAACACTTGCTTCCTTGACTTCTGTGGTGGTAGGGTCAGGCCAGTGACATTTTCATTTTCACAGAAGTCATTCTTGGTTTCTCGCTCTCAGAGCCTAGTTTGGGCTTCAGGGTCAGAAAGTGGTAACATGGGGGTGCCTGGGTGGCTCAGTCAGTTAAGCATCTGACTCTTGATTTTGGCTCAGGTTGTGATCTCAGGGTTGTGAGATCGAGCCCTGTGTTGGGCTCCACTCTGGGTGTGGAGTCTGCTTGAGATTCTCTCTCTGCCCCTCCATCCCCCCTCATTCTCTCTTTCTCTCTCTTCTTCTCTTAAAAAAAAAAAAAAGTGGTAGCATAGAAGGCAAGTAACTAACATGGAGTTGTTGGGTAACCTAACTGTTTTGCACTCTGACAGTTGATGGTGTCCCAAATAAGTTTGAAGACGAAGCACATTAGATACCATGAATACATCTTAAAGACATTTTAAATGATGGTGGTGGTCATATATTAATCCAAGAAAGGCAAATGCATTTGCATTTGCTCTGCGTGCTCTAACTTCTGACCCATCCTTTCTTCCAGAGACTTATTTAAGTATCACTGCAACGCAGACACCGGAAAATTGCTGTTTCTGACGTGTCAGAAGCTTTGTCACATGGTGGCTAACGACGTTCCGATGGCAACACCTGTCGGCCTCAATCTTCCTTCGGAAATACATGCTCTAGCTTGCCAAGCTGCCACCATCTGCAGCCCAGGTGACAAGATTTATGATACACATAGTTTTGTTTCATACTGGTCTTCCAAATGCTGTCTTTGTACAATTGGACGTTGCTGTAAGGACAAAAGATCATTGTCTCCATTTTATAAAGAGCCAGTTATAATCGATCCTCTACGGGGATTACTGTTTGCAAATATCTACAGGTGTTAACAATGTCATTTCCAACTATTGATACTCACTTTGATGGGATTGTGAAATTCCTTGCCTCTCCATCTACGATCTTCTCAGCCGAGCTGAAGAAAAAAGTTGAACTGCATTATTTAGGGTAGTCAGAGCTTTGTGGAAACTTTTCTGTCTACCATGTGGCTGCCTTTAGAATTTTGAATGGTGATTACTTGAAGACTGTTTTCATTATTCCAAACACATGAAATATTAGTGTAATGATTTTTCTCCATTTTCTTTCAGATTTTTTACTAGATGCTTTAGAACTATGTAAATATACCTTAACAGCAGTAGAGCTTTCCAGACAGTGCCAAATGGATGACTGTGGAATTCTAATGAAAGTAATTGCTTTTGAATTTCTTTTCCTTAAACAAAACCCCTACCCATCCTTTATGTACCACTTTTAAATCACTTGCATAGCTTACAAAAATACCGAATCCACCTCTTGTGTTTTCTTATTCGAGGCCGGAAATCTCAAGGCATGAGACCTATTTTCCAGTCACATTTATGGGCCAATTAAAGTTGCACTATCTTTTGAAATGTTGGGCCTCAAGCCAGGCATCTCTGGATATTGTCCTCCTTTTAAGAGTAACAGTTTAATTTAAGATGGCGTTATTATGAGCCACAGACCTGAAGAAATAGACTCCACGGTTGGTTTTGACCCTCAGAACTGCGTTTGGCTCTAGTACATCTGCTCTCGGGTTCTGCCTGGTGAAGGTGGTAGTTGTGTTTTGGAGTGTATTTACTGTGTCATCTCCATGTGATTTGGTATTCAGACCTCCTTCGGAACTCACAAAGATCCATATGAAGAGTGGTCTTACAGTGACTTCTTCAGTGAAGATGGGATAGTACTTGAGTCACAGATGGTGCTCCCGGTGATTTATGAATTGATTGCATCACTCGTGCCTCTCACTGGTAAATGTCACTTGTGTTGTTATTTTCCATGTATTCCTGCCTTATGCAAGTTTAAACTGCGGAGGTTTGGAACTAGAACCCCACATGGTAATATGGTGAGTCCGCAGGCATAATGCTGAGCAAAAGAAGCCAGACACAAAAGAAGACATACTGTCTGATTTCATTTACATAAAGTTCAAGGACAGGCTACAAGGAAGCCGTGCTGTTGGACATCAGGAGAGTGGCTGGTTAGGTTACCTTAGGGGTGGGTTATGACTGGAATGGGGGCAAGACAGGGCTTCAGGTGCTAGTAAGGTTCTGTTTCTTGCTTTAGGTGCTGTTATATGGATGTATTCACTTTATCAGGTTGTACATTCATCTGTGTATTTTTCTATATACTTAAATTTTTGGCAGTTTACTTTAGGACATTATTTGATAATAGCACAATATTTAAGTATCTCTTGGAATATGAGCGAGTTGTTTTATTTAGTTTATGTACTTTACTCTCTTTTGTAGAAAGCAAGAGACATTCCTTGGATTCTACAAGTTTACCATACCGCTCTATTAATGAAGGTATTTGACATCAGAAATGTACACTGTTGGGGCACCTGGGTGGCTCAGTCGTTAAGCGTCTGCCTTCGGCTCAGGTCATGATCCCAGGGTCCTGGGATCGAGCCCCACGTCAGGCTCCCTGCTCCTTGGGAGCCTGCTTCTCCCTCTGCCTTTCTCTCTCTCTGTCTCTCATGAATAAATAAATAAAAATCTTTAAAAAAAAAAAAAAAAGAGTCAGCTTTGGGCTCAGGCCATGATCCCAGGTCCTGGGATCGAGCCCCGCATGGGGCTCCCTGCTCGGCGGGAAGCCTGCTTCTCCCTCTCCCGCTCCCCTGTTCTCTCTCTCACTGTGTCTCTCTCTGTGTCAAATAAATAAATAAAATCTTAAAAAAAAAAAGAAAAGAAATGTACACTGTTGTGTTACGATGTTATAAATACACCAATATAGAAATTCCTTGAAATCTTGGATACAAGTCTGTCTTAATGTTCTTGATGTGGTTACTTAGTTATTACTGTTACGATATTGTTCTTCCAGAGGGTCAGGAAAGTTCATTTGGCTTATAACAGTAACTTTTATGTATCTGTTCATAAATTTGGTCTTCCCAATGGAGAAATGCGTTTTTTTTTAGCTAATGACTTAAGCATCTCAAAATAGACAAGTTACAATCAAACTTAGTTATTTCCTGGCTTAAAACAAGCCCATGTTAATTCTCTCATTTACTCACTTTGAGAACCAATTCTATGACCATCAACTCCATTGAAGACATAGGCTGTCCCTAGAAACAATTTTCAGTAATAGGATCTTTCTTTCTTTGAAAAAATCTAAATGGATTAAAGTACTTTTACTGAAATAAAATACTTTTATCATTTCACAGGAGACAATCTTATTTTACCTATTATAAACTCCATCTCTGCCCTGCTCCAGAACCTTCAGGAATCTAGCCAGTGGGAGCTGGCCCTAAGATTTGTCATTGGTTCATTTGGTACCTGTCTTCAGCACTCTGTGTCAAGCTTCATGAATGCCAGTCTGAGTGGAAAGGTACAGTTTTGAGAACAAAATGCTTTCACTTTGAATGAATATAGATACAAAAGCACTGCCAAACAAAGGAATTTGGAGTCCGCATTTTCTCGTTTGGCTCTGGAGCAAGGACAATGATAATTTGTCAGATTTAAGAAACATTTGTTGAGCAGCTACTGAGATTTGGGTATAGTTCAGGGTTCTTGTACTCTTTTCATACTCAATCTTGACAACAACCCAGAGAGTCTCCATTTTGCAAATAAGGAAGCAGACTGAGGGAGGTGAAATCAGTCATCTGAAGTTTTAGGTTGCAGTAGTGTGTCGTCTTATTCCAAACCCAGTGACCCCATTAGGTCAAAACTCTATCTGCTGTTTGTTTTACTGTGACCCAAATTATTATAATTATTACCTGACAGCATCATTGAAAAGAGTCTAGAAGACAAAGTACCTGTTGATAACATGCTTATGAGATTAGTCTCAGGGAGAATTGTATTCACTTCTACTGTTCTATTGATATTTATTAAATGCCAATTAAAAAAAATTAACTTTGGGGCGCCTGGGTGGCTCAGTCATTAAACGTCTGCCTTCAGCTCAGGTCAAGATCCCAGGGTCCTGGGATCGAGCCCCGCATTGGGCTTCCTGCCCAGTGGGAAGCCTGCTTGTGTTCCCTCTCTCACTGTGTATCTCTGTCAAATAAATAAACAAATTCTTTTAAAAAAAGAATTTAAGTGTAACTTTCAAAATTGCCATTTGTAGTGACCATGTCACCAACACCACAATCAAGATAGAGAATATTTTAAATGGTTCCTTTTGCCCCTTCCCAGTCAGTTCCACCCCCCGCCTCCAGCCGTAATGGTCTGTCATCGTAAATTAAATGCCAACACATTTTGCATATAATGATGAATTTTCAAAGTTCCTTAATATTTGAGGAGAGTTTTCAGAATGATGCATAGACAGAAATGGACCTAAAGATTCTTTTGTTCTTTTCTAAAAGTTGTTTGGAGAGGCTACATTAGTTAAATCAAAGCATGTTGTTATGGAATTGAAAGAGAAAGCCGTTACATTTATCAGGGGAAATGCTACAACATTATTGCACAAAGTGAGTATCTGTTCTTGGTAAGCTCTCTCTCTCTCTCTTTTTTTTCTCCTTTCTTCTGGTGGCTTCTGATTTCTCAATGAGGATAAGAGTGAGGGAGGGGGAGGCGGTGTTGGAGGTTTGAAGAGAAGTGATGGAATTTTCACACAGGGGAGAAGAAAGTAGGAGTTCCATGCTATGTAGAACTTGTTAGAGTTGTTTCCTTAAATTTATGATAATGATAAAGGATGTTAAAATGAAGCAAACAAGTTGGAACTGAGTTACTTTAAATAACTTTTCATGAAACAGTTATTCTTTCCTAGGGTCTATAATTAAATTTAGTAACAAGCCTTCAGAGACCAAATTTTGTTTTGATTGTAAAGAATGTTCTTCTCTTGATGCTTTCTTCTGATAGGTGTTTAACTGTCGCCTGGTGGATCTTGACTTGGCCTTGGGTTACTGCACTCTCTTACCCCAAAAAGAAGTGTTTGAAAATCTCTGGAAGCTCATAGATAAAGCATGGCATAATTATGACAAAATTTTGGTATGACCGAAGGAAGAACAGCCTCAGTTCTTTAAGTATTAAAACATTTAGGGGAAGAAATGAAATGGTTTTGCCCTCAGATCTTAAAGACTTAAGCAAAAGAAATGTCGAGCTTACTCGCTTACTTTCTACCAGCTTTTCCTTGACTAGTGGCTCACCGGGTGAATGTGTATGCAGGTTATAAGCATTGCTCAACCCAAAGAATTATATTTTTAATTTCTTAAATATGTATGCAGCCACAGAACTTGATTTCTTATACTTATTTTAAAGTCTTAGACCCATGAGCCTGTTCTTTTTGTAGGACAAGTTTGACAGATGCAAAACTTCTCTTGGATATTGTTTGTTTTAAAATTTGCTTTTTGTGGGGGTTTTGTTTGCAGGATAACCAAAATTTGGCCTTTTCCTTGAAGGAAAGCCAGACTAAATTTATGACATCATACTAAAAGTTGAGTGACCTAACTATTGTTTGAATAATGACTGTGTATCAAGCAATATGTAACATTCCACCCTGTTATCACAAAGAGAGGTTATGATTTTTATTATTGGGTTTCATCTAAAAGGTATTAGAATGTATTCTATTTACAACTGAATTTTATATTTTAATTTTTTAGGCAATATCTCTGGTGGGCTCTCAGCTGGCCAGGCTCTATCAGGAAATAGAAACGGAGCTTAAGTTCCGTGAGCTCAGTACTGATGCCCGGTGGGGTATTCGTCTTGGCAAACTTGGTGTGAGTATTCTTTGGAGTGCCATGAAGTTTCATCCATTCTGATGATTTTCCTCAGGAAAAGTTAAAACAAAGATCTCATTGTCCTTTTCTTCAGAGAAAGGATGTATATTGTGGACTCATAGATTTTAGTTACATTAAGTATACACATTGGTGTTTTCAAACAAATAAGGACTGTTTGCTTCATTTCCTTTTTTCTATATTTTCAAGGAAATTCGAAGGGGCTTGACATTTTTATGTGCTTAGCTTTCTCATTTATAGAAATATATCTAGCATTAACATCTAAGGTGTTTCAGACCTAGCCTTTAGCCTCTACTTTGGTGCTGCTGTTTGGTTAAAGACAACATCAATGTATATACAGATATACCGAGGTTTAAGAACTCCTACTAGGGAAAAGTCATTTTTCACTTTGTAAAAACAAACAAAACCCTATTTTCGTTACACTATGCATGAAAACCATTTTACCTTATTCGCAAATAGTAGACTTATCAGGAATGTAATCACTGCAGAAATGGTATGTGTTTTGAAGCCTAATTCGTATGCAGCAATGGGACTGGTTATCGCTAACAACAAGCTTCATCAGCTTGACTGATGAAGAGCCACAGGTTAGTGTGACTAAGAGAGATATTGGACCCATAGCCAAATATATACCTGAAATCTCAGAATGATGGTCAAGTTGAGTAGGATGATTAAAAAAACAAAAAGTTGGAGAAGTCTAGAAAAATATTTCTCTATAAAAAGGTAAATCACCATGGTGTCCTTATTCTAGTACATTTTACTTTACTGGGATTTTTGTTTTGCTCTTTTTATTTCTAGATTTCTTTCCAGCCAGTTTTCAGGCAACATTTTCTCACCAAGAAGGACCTCATTAAAGCTCTCGTGGAGAATATAGATATGGACACAAGTCTCATTCTGGAATATTGCTGGTAATTCTTTAAAACTTAGTGGTATTTTTTGCTGTTAGCTTAACATACTGGAAGTCCTTACTGCAAGAACACAATAATAAAGTTGATTATTCCTTTTTTTTTTTTTTTTAAAGATTTTATTTATTTATTTGGCAGAGAGAGACACAGCGAGAGGGAACACAAGCCGGGGAGTGGGAGAGGGAGAAGGAGGCTTCCCGCTGAGCAGAGAGCGCTATGTGGGGCTCGATCCCAGGACTCTGGGATCATGACCTGAGCCGAAAGCAGATGCTTAACGACTGAGCCACCCAGGCGCCCCTAAAGTTGATTATGCCATGTGGTCCATGGACCTCTGATGTTTACTTTTGTTTATCCCCAAACTGAGTAAACTCCAGAACCAGATTAAATTCTTTTAAGTTATCACCCTTTAAGTTCACTGCTAAGTGTTTCCCCAACTTGCCTCATGATGAGCATCACCTGGGGTACCTGATGGGGCACCTGGTCTAAAATACAGATTCCTGGGCCCCTCCCCAGTGGTTCTGACTGAGCAGATCTGGGCCAAAGCCCAGGAATCTAATCCTTAATAAGAAGGAGTTCCAGATGATCCCCATGTTCAGGAAAGTTTAAGAATATTGTTATGAGCAATTGAACTTATAAATCAGATTAACTCAGGCAGGGTCATCTTAAATTAAGACATATTGAAAAATATGATTTAGGGAGAATTTTTAAAAATAATAAGTGAGCAGAGAAAACTAAGACTGAATGTTTTATTTATAGATAACAGTTCAGTGTGATGAGTAGGAATAAATAATCTCAGGCATTTATTTAATAAGTAGGATGACCAGTTTGCTGTCACATTATCAGTTTCAAAGTTCTTTCACACATACCACCATTTAATTTTTTACAATTTTTATTGCATATTCTCACCAATCTATGTATGAGAAAATAAACCCCATATTAGGTGACCCGCTCAAGGTCAAATAATAAGTGACAGCTTTTAAAATACCAACAGTGCTATAACCCTCATCCAGTTGGTGACAGATGAGTGAAGTCTGAGTTACTATTAAGAGCACAATTCCTCACCAGGCAGGTCTTCCTGTGGACAGAGGAGAGGTTAGTGAGGACCCTGGCTGCCACCATCCTGAACCTGAAAGTCAAAAACTGGACTGCTCCTAGCTCTAAGTAGCTCCAACTAACTGTACTTTGAAATAACAAAACCATGCCCTTCTTCAGTTTGGACTGCTACAAATCCAGAATGGGGTGCACACACTGTCTTGTTTATTAATTTGAACTCCTGGTAGATTTTGGCGTGTGGTTTTGTTGTACTGAGCCCTTTTCTGAGATGTAAATAGCTAGAATAATGTCAAGTTCATTTCACATTCTTGTTGCTTGGGTGGCATTGATGATTTGTATTTGTGTGATAGTGACACTTTTACCCCAAGGAGTCCAGCTGAATAAATTTAGATGGCCTTTAGAATTTCAGGGAATGACTTTAAAATGGTCCTTCTTAAAGCTTTTCTTTTCTTTTTTTTTTTTTTTTTTAAGATTTTATTTATTTATTTGAGACAGAGAGAATGAGAGACAGAGAGCATGAGAGGGAGGAGGGTAAGAGGGAGAAGCAGACTCCCTGCCGAGCAGGGAGTCCGATGCGGGACTCGATCCCGGGACTCCAGGATCATGACCTGAGCCGAAGGCAGTCGCTTAACCAACTGAGCCACCCAGGCGCCCAAAGCTTTTCTTGATATTTCAGTTATTCTGTGCAGCAGATTAAACTACCATCTTTTTTTTTTTTTTTTTTTTTTTTTTTTGACAGAGAGATAGCACAAGTAGGCAGAGAGGCAGGCAGAGGGAGAGGGAGAAGCAGACTCTCCACTGAGCAGGGAGCCCGACGTGGGGCTCGATCCCAGGACCCTGAGATCATGACCTGAGCTGAAGGCAGCCGCTTAACCGACTGGGACACCCAGGCGCCCCTAAACTACCATCTTATTGATAGGGCTTAAGACATTGGAATTGTCTGTCTATATTAATCTCATTCTTAATTTTTAAGTCTATTATTTTTCTAATTCAGATGGAACATATTAAAATCAAAGTTCCACATAGTCTCACCCTTCAGGAATAATCACTGTTAAAAGAGTTTGGCCTATATTCTTTTATTTCCCCTATGCAAATGCTAACATGCATTCTTTACATTCCTCAAAAACAGAATCATACTTTACAAACCATTTTGTAGCATGTATCATTCACTTAGCAAGATGTCTTATAAGACTGGTACATATAGCCCTTCCTCATAGCTCTTGAACTCCGGTATTCCTTTGTATGAATAAGTTATTTAACTAGCTCCATATCGATGGATGATTGAGTGGTTCTCAATTTTTAAATATGACAAACAGTTGTTGCAGTGGACATCCATATATGTATATCTTGGTGACTTCTGCGAAGTGTATGAAAGTGGAATTGCCCTATTAAAGGAATTAAATATTTTCAATTTTATTACAAATTTCTCTCCGGTATTGTGCCGTGTCAACATGGCTGCCAAGAACAAGATCTGATTTTTTAAAGGCAGTAATTAACTCTGATGGCAGGTATATGATCTGATAATGAGGCTGGGCAATGAGAGGGTTATTGGAGTCCAGTGACGGGAGCGTGTAGGGGAGAAATTGTATGGACACCCACGCATGCGGGGAAGTTAATGTGTAATGGAATACTTCTTTTAGCACATTTCAGTTAGACTGTGATGCAGCTCTCCAGCTATTCATCGAAACACTGCTACACACCAGTGCCAGCCAGAGCCAGGGAGACGTGAGTGCGCAGTCCGCAAAGCATCAGCACCCCAGACTCCTGGCCAAAGCCCTGGAAATGGTTCCTCTACTGACAAGCACAAAAGATTTGGTCATCAGTCTTAGCGGGATACTCCACAAGGTAGATGAATGGGAAATGAATGTATCGGGCCACACCAGCCGTCCCTCCTACTCTTAGTCTATTTAGAGACGTTGAGCAACAAGCTGGAAATGCAAGTCCTATATTTTTTAAAACTTTCAATTTTGATATTTTAGATTTCTATCTTTTTAATAATTTAATACAACAATTTTCTGGATTTTTTTTTCTGAAAAAAGAAATAACCTTTTTTTTTTTTTTTAAGATTTTATTTATTTATTTGTCAGAGAGCAAGAGAGCACAAGCAGGCAGAGCGGCAGGCAGAGGGAGAGGGAGAAGCAGGCTCCCTGCTGAGCAGGGAACCTGATGCGGGACCCGATCCCAGGACCCTGGCTCGGACCATGACCTGAGCCAAAGGCAGACACTTAACCAACTGAGCCACCCGGGTATCCCCAGAAATAGCCCTTTTTTTTCAGATTTTTGAAAATAGTACACATTCTTTGAAAAGATCAAAGTAGAAGTATAAATTAAAAAGTGACATTTCTCTATAACCCCATTCCCATAGATAAAAATGTTAGTAGTTTGGTGACTATCGTAGGCTAAATATCCTATCCTGTTACTCTCTTTTTATGACAATACACATCTTCCTCATTTTTAATATGTATTAATAATATGTATTATTCCATGGTGTGGAAGAAACATACTGTATTTAGCCAGGCCTTTATGGATGGACATTTAAATTGTACATTTCACTATTATAAGTTGTTACAGTGAGGGGCACCTGGGTGGCTCAGTTGTTAAGCATCTGCCTTCGGCTCAGGTCATGATCCCACAGTCCTGGGACTGAGCCCCACATCAGGCTCCCTGCTCCGCGAGAAGCCTGCTTCTCCCTCTCCCACTCCCCGTGCTTGTATTCCTGCTCTCTCTCTCTCTCTCTGTCAAATAAATAAATAAAATATTTTAAAAAAATAAGTTGTTACAATGAAAATCTTCATATATATACATATTTGCCTTCTTGTCTGATTATTTTCTTAGGAGATCTTTATGAGAATTAAAACTTTTAGGTTGAAGGGTAGTTTCTTGGGGAAGTAGAAGTGGATGGAAGGGTGAAGAGGATTATAAGACTACAAGAAATACTTCAGTTTTATATTTTGCCTGAAAATCAGCTAGAAATAATATAGACTTGCTCAAAAGTTCTAGGTACTACATAAATCATCTTCCCACTTAGTTCAGTGTTGTTATTCTTGTGACTTTATTTGGCATTTAAGAAATGGAAAAAAAAGTAATGGTGTATGGGCAGAAACAAAGAACAAAGAGAATACTTCCTTTCTCTTTATGAACATATATAGATGCCACCCAATTAATTTTGGCATTTCAGTATATGATTAGAGCAAGAATGCAATCCTTTGAGAAACTTTTGCTTGGAGGTCCACACTTTCAGTTACATCATTTCCAAGAAAAGGTCCATTTCCTCCTATTATACTTTTTCTGTCTTAAATGGAAGACATAGAATTCTAGTGGCGCCTGGGTGGCTCAGTTGTTAAGTGTCTGCCTTCGGCTCAGGTCATGATCCCAGGGTCCTGGGATAGAGCCCCCGCATCGGGCTCCCTGCTCAGTGGGAAGCCTGCTTCTCCCTCTCCCATTCCCCCTGCTTGTGTTCCCTCTCTCAATGTGTCTCTCTCTGTCAAATAAATAAATAAAATCTTTTTTTTTTTAAAGATTTTATTTATTTATTTGAGAGAGAGAATGAGAGAGAGAGAGCACGAGAGGGGGGAGGGTCAGAGGGAGAAGCAGACCCCCTGCCGAGCAAGGAGCCCAATATGGGACTCAATCCCGGGACTCCAGGATCATGACCTGAGCCGAAGGCAGTCGCTTAACCAACTGAGCCACCCAGGCGCCCTAAATAAAATCTTAAAAAAAAAAAAAGACATAGAATTCTAATTAAAACATCTTACAAGGATGCCTCGGTGGCTCAGTCAGTTAAGTGTCTGCCTTTTTTTAAAAGTTTTATTTATTTATTTATTTGACAGAGACACAGTGAGAGAGGGAACACAAGCAGGGGGAGTGGGAGAGGCAGAATCAGGCTTCCCACAGAGCGGGGAGCCTGATGCAGAGCTTGATCCCAGGACCCCGGGATCATGACCCTAGCCTAAGGCAGGCGCTCAACGACTAAGCCACCCAGGCGCCTCTAAGTGTCTGCCTTTGACTCAGGTCACGATCCCAGGGTCCTGGAATCAAGTCCCGTGTCGGGCTCCTTGCTCATCAGGGAGCCTGCTTCTCCCTCTGCCTGCCGTTCCCCCTGCTTGTGCTCTCTCTCTCTGACAAAAAATAAATAAAATCTTTTTTATAAAATTTACAAAATAAAAAAAATTTACAAAATTATGAAATTTTGATATATATATTGTTTCTAGATTTTTAGTACCCTAGGAACAGCTTTCTTTTTTTAAAGTCACTTTGGAAACTTTTTAAAGAACATTTGTTTATCCTGATAGAACTAATAAAGAGCTAATTTTGAGGTAAGAACATTTCAGGGTTTTTTTGTTTGTTTGTTTTTGAGGGAGAGAGCACCTAAGCATGGGTAGGGGGGCAAGGGCAGAGGGTGAAAAAGAATCTTAAGCAGGTCCCACGCCCACCATGGAGCCAGACACAGGGCTCAGGGCTCAATCTCATGACCCTGAGGATCATGATCTGAGCTGAAGTCAAGAATTGGACACTTAACCGACTGAACCACCCAGGTGCCCCCATTTCAGTTCATTTTTAAAAGAATAATCTAACACCATAGTGCAGTGAGATTTTATATTTATAATCTGTGTCGATTACCATAATTAAATAAAACCATCTCCTGGCCTGATCATCTTCTTAAGTTTTGATATATTTTTACTTTTATACAGTTGGATCCCTATGACTATGAAATGATTGAAGTCATCCTAAAAGTTATAGAAAGAGCCGATGAAAAGATAACCAACATTAATATTAATCAGGTATAACTATTATACATTTAAAAATTATCTTTATGCTTCTTTTTGGATCATTTACCGAATTGCAGTCACATAGTATCTTTCTGGACTATCCTTTATGCTTTCTATTTTATTCCTGTCCTCTTCTTTGAAAGGGATACAGAAGTAAAAAGACTTCTCATGCTCTCTGTATTTTATTATTTATCTTAATCCCGTTCTTGCTTTACTAAAGCAATTTAAATTAGTCCAAGAGCACGAAGTCACTAAAGTACTGATTTGAAAGAATTAAAACAAAATTTTTGTGATTCAGAAGAAGGGAAAAAAAATAGCATGTGGGACCCAGAGTTAGATTCCACTTTCTATATTAGTAGGTAGGACTGACTCAATTCTAGTGCTTTCAGTAACTTTTTAGTCTTTTCTAAATTTTGGTCATAGTAGCTTTTATCTCTTTTTAAATTGGAGTTTAAAAATTAAAAGACAATGGGTTGATTCAAAAGGTTTTACAAGCCCCAAAAATATCAGATATAAGCTCAAGAAATGTAAGGGATATAGAGGATTAATTTTAGATCTACTGCCTATGTATTTAAATTGAAATAGGGTATTTTTGAGATATCTCAGACTGTTCAAACAGGGCATGAGGAACTGTCAAACTCATAAACATCCCACCAACAACAAGGTTCCATTAGTTTCTCCGCACATAATTTCTTTAATCATTGTATAAATTATGGTTTTGGTTTAGAAGGATAACTTAAGAGGTAAAACTACAAAAGCTTTTGGTGTATCTTTATGAAAACAAGACCTTCTCAGGAATGGAAATCCATGATGCTATCAAGTTAGACAATTCAGAAACAGGATTGTTTTAATCTCACGGGAAATTACATTTATACATATATGTGTGTGTATATATATATAATATATATATGTATTTTTTTTTTTAGGCATTGAGTCTTCTGAAACATTTGAAATCATACAGAAGAATATCTCCTCCAGTGGACTTAGAATATCAGTATATGTTGGAGCATGTGATAAGTTTGCCATCAGCCGCCCAAACTAGACTGCCTTTTCACCTAATATTCTTTGGCACAGCACAGAACTTCTGGAAAATTCTCTGTATGTTCCTTAACTTTTGAATATTACTGAATAGCCAATTTTTTTTTCTTAAGCAAATCATATTCTTCTTGTTTCCTTTTTAGCTACAGAACTCAGTGAAGAATCTTTCCCAACACTGCTCTTAATTTCTAAATTAATGAAGGTAATGGGTTGAGACTTTATAAGACGTATCTTTATACCCTCTAGTTAGCTTAGACCCTGTGTAGAAGGATTTTGTGCTGCTTTCAGGTAAACCCTTAAAGGTGCGCATATAAATCAGCCTTAACTTTTCTTTTCCTCTCTTTGAAGTTCTCTTTGGACACTCTGTACGTGTCTACAGCCAAGCATGTTTTTGAAAAAAAATTGAAGCCGAAGCTCCTGAAGTTAACACAAGCTAAATCCTCAGTGCTGATTAACAAGGAAATAACTAAGATCACTCAAACCATTGAATCCTACTTACTGTCTATAGTTAACCCAGAGTGGGCTGTGGCTATTGGAATCAGTCTTGCCCAGGATATCCCAGAAGGTACGGATTCTTCCTCTAAATGGGCTCAAAATGGTTGGCTTGTTGTTTTGAACTTGCAGTTAAAAAAAAAAAAAATGGACTTCTCTATCTTTAAGGAGAGGCATTTAAAACTATCGATGGTAGTTAAAAATGTTATGTGTGCCCTCTGTCTTCACTTGGTGCATTGCTGACATTGTTAAAATTTGCTGAATGTTGAAAAGGCTCCGGTGAAGTCAGCAAGGCTCCCTGTAGCTTATCAGGGTGCGGGGATGTGGGCGCTCTCCACCTTGTTGGTAGGGATAGAAATTGATGCTTCCTAATATCCACTCATACTTCTAGTAATGAATTGTTGCGTGTTCTTACATAACCCAACAAGCACACAAACACAGGCACACACTGCCATGTTTTTAGTTGTAACAGAAATTGAAAATAACTATTTTTTTTAAATGTTCATTTGTCAGGAACTTGTTTAAAAAAATAGAGCATAGGGGCTCCTGGGTGGCTCAGTTGTTAAGCGTCTGCCTTCGGCTCAGGTCGTGATCCCAGGGTCCTGGGATCGAGCCCCACATCAGGCTCCCTGCTCCATGGGAAGCCTGCTTCTCCCTCTCCCACTCCCCCGCTTGTGTTCCTGCTCTCACTGTCTGTCTCTCTCTCTGTCAAATAAATGAATAAAATCTTTAAAAAAAAAAATAGAGCATATTCATAGAATGGAATACTATGTAGTTGACTTGGAAAGATAGCCAAGGAATCTGTATAGTGAAAACAGTGAACTGTATGTACTACATGTATGATCTTATTCCATTTGGGTTAAAAGGTGTGTGTCCTTCTGTCCTGTTTAAATTATTTTTTTTACTCTGAGTATGTATTCTCATTTTAAAAAAATAACCTTTTTAATTTGACTCAAATACATTTGTCTTGATTAAATTTGCTTATAAATCTCTTTGTCTTTTCAGGTTCCTTCAAGATGTCCAGCCTGAAATTCTGCCTGTATCTAGCTGAGAGATGGCTGCAGAATATCCCATCTCAGGTGTGTCTGAACTGCTTGGTGGAAGGCTCCGTTCTCTCTCTTTTCACTTAACTCGTGCTCCCCTGGTGAACCTTCCCATCCTGCCCCGGGGACGGGCATCTTGGAGGGTTGAATGCCTAAAATGGAGAAAGATTAGGGTTTGTGTAGCTCTGTAAGGTTGTAACTAAGGCAGGGAAGGACCTTGATTGATAAGGATGAATTCTTTGCCTCACTGAGGTTTAGAGATTAACAATTTCCTCTCGCTTATGATTTTTTTTTTTTTAAAGGATGAAACACGTGAAAAAGCAGAGGCTTTGTTGAAGAAGCTTCATATCCAGTATCGGCGGTCAGGCACTGAAGCCGTGCTCATAGCCCACAAGCTGAACTTGGCAGAGTATCTGAGAGTCATAGGAAAACCTGCACATCTCCTTGTCAGTCTGTACGAACACCCGAGCATCAGTCAGCGAATTCAGAACTCGTCCAGCAAAGACTATCCCGGTGAGGACAAGACGCCGCTCATCTTTCTGCTCAAGGAGAACTATCATTTTGATTCCCAGTTATCTTGCATTGAAAGCTTGGGTTTTTCTTCTTCTTTTTTTTTTTAATTCTTTATCTTGAATATCTTAGATATTCACACAGCTGCCAAAGAAATTGCTGAAGTTAATGAAATTAATTTGGAGAAGGTCTGGGACATGTTGTTGGAGAAGTGGCTATGCCCGCCCACAAAGCCTGGGGAGGTGAGTCCATTCTCCGGGAGCATCTGTTGTTCTTTCTGTTGTCCCGCCCTGACAGAACCTTCTAATGAGTGGCTCAGACTCTTAGAACAAGGAACGTTGGCTCCTTTTAATACCTTCTGTTATCTGATGAGTTTTAATGAGGTTTTTTCCTTTTTCTTTTCATTTAAATATTGTTTTGCAACTATTTTACCTTTTGGTGATTCTAGATTAACTCTTGTGTAAAAGAAGTGGCCTGTTCTTAGGGTCATGTGATTTAACTTTTTAGTTGAGATCATTTTATTTTTATTTTTATTTATTTATTTTTAAAGATTTTATTTATTTGACAGAGAGAGACACAGCGAGAGAAGGAACACAAGCAGGGGGAGTGGGAGAGGGAGAAGCAGGCTTCCCACAGAGCAGGGAGCCCGATGTGGGGCTCGATCCCAGGACCCTGGGATCATGACCTGAGCTGAAGGCAGACGCTTAACGACTGAGCCACCCAGGTGCCCGAGATCATTTTAAATATATGGAAAAGTTGCAATAGTTGAAAAGAATTCCTGTACACCCTTCACCCAGTTCCATCAATGTTTAACATTCTGCCATATTTGTTTCACCCTATAATATATATATATATTTATAATATTTCTCTGGACCGTCTGAGAATGAATTGCCTATGCATGCCCCTTTACCCCTTAACAAGTTTGTATTTCCTGAGAACAAGGCTTTTTCTTACTTAACCATACTATCATTATCAAAATTAGATAATTGAAAATTGATACACTATTGATATACCACAAACATAGGCTCAAATCTATGATCCATGTTACAATATAATGAATTGTCCCAATAATGCTTTTTAATAGCAATTTCCCCTCCCCACTCCTTCTCTGGGACCAGGATATAGTCTAGGACGATGCATTGCATGTATTTGTTGTGTCTCTAGTCTCTTTTAATCTAAAACAGCTCCATGGCTTTTCCTTGTCTTTTATGACATTGATATTTTTGAAGAGTACAGACCAGTTATTTTATAAGCTGCCTCTCAGTTTGTGTTCATCTGATATTTCCTCATGATAAGATTCAAATGATGCAGTTTGGGCTAGAATCCTGCCTAAGTGATGTCGTGTCCTTCTCAGGGTATGACATATGGAGGCCTCTATCTATTTGCCCTAATAGGTGATGTGAATTTAAATAACTTGGTTACGATGTTGTCAGTGTCCCTATTAACATAGTTATACTGTATTTCTTTTTGTAACTATTAGGGGAGGTATTTGGAGACAATTGCTCCTCTTCAAACTCCTTTCCCCACCGCACATATAACCCGATTTAGTATCTACGGATGATTTTTACTCCAGTCTGTTTTGACTGTGATGGGATATTGATGTTTTTAAAGGGCGCCAGCCAGTTGGTTTACAAAATGTCTCGGTCTCACGATGTTTCTCATGATTAGATTCAGGTTGTGTCTTTTTGGCAAGAACACCGTATAGGTGATGTGTTCTTTTTAGTGTATCACATCAGGAGGCACATAGTGTCAGTTTCTTAGAAATAGTGTCATTAACATCTAAATTTATGCTGGGATTCGGCATTCCAAATGCAGAATTTTCTGTGCTGCTTCTGCATTTTCAGGCAGAACTCAACCAGAGAGACTTCCTCTATCCAACTAGGCAGATATGCTCGAAAAAAACCTATTTATAAACAAATACTATAACTGAAATGACATTAGATTTTTAATTAGTTTTTATATCCCTTGGTATTCATTGTAACAAGTATTTCTTTATTTATTAAGTGTTTATGAAGAGCAAGGACTGTGCTTTATTGGACATGGTTAGAAGCATAGCTAGGCCACGTAGAATCTGGTTGACTTAGAAACCAGCATGTTTGAACTTTTACGTAAATTTGGAGACCTGAATGACAGCATCTTGAGGCCAGGAACTGTGTCTGTACCTAGCACCTTGCACGTGGCTTTGTAAGTCCCTGGATATACCGAATTACTGAACGACTCTTTAAAATCCATGGAGTCCTTTCCTTTTAAAAATTATCCAATGACTGTGAGCACCAGGAGGACAGGAACATTTGTTTTATTCACTCAGGCCACCCTTGTGCCTGGAATTGCGCCTGGCACATAGTAAGTGCTCAGTAAATATTTACTGACTGAATAAACGTGAGGAAACCACATTTTAAAGGAAAAATCTTTTCATAAAGTGATGGGTTTTACTCTGATTTCTTCTATGTAAACATAATTCTCTATATTGGGTTTTTCATTTGATTATATTAGCTTATATAGTCAGCAAACTTTGTAGTTTTTTTATTTTACTTTTTTCACTTTTTCAAAGAAACCGTCAGAATTATTTGAACTTCAAGAAGATGAAGCACTACGAAGGTACTCTTTCTTTACTTACATGTGCCTTTATCTTATTGCCCAGTAAGAATCTTACAGTAAATCTGCCAGAGGTTGGTTTTGAAAAGACTTTGTTCGTGTAACTTGGGTCAGAGTCTCAGACTCCGAGCAGAATCATTCCGTTGATATATGGCCATGAGTATGTACAACTGTCTCCAGTGGAATAAATAAGAAACAACCAAGATCCAGAATTTCTGAACCCTCAGTGAGTCCCTACTAATGTTGAGGGTTCCTAGAATACCTTTAGCAAAGAAAGCACCTCAAGCAAAGGAGGACTCTCTTTGCTAGGACTCTGGCCCCAGACCCCTATGTATTCTCTCACCCTGGTAAGCTGGGCTGGTTCCTGTATGGGCGACCAGGATTCCTTTCCCCTTCTAACCTAAAACTGAGACCTAGGAAGGCACATTGGTTTCATGTAATGTGCTAAATCTGATTGGTCATGGCTTGCCAACTGTGTCTGGGCCCAGATCAAAAAAGATGTGGTAATCCATTAATGATGCTTGGCACAGGCATGGGAGAGGGAGTGGTGACATGCATGCCAGCTTTTTGCCATTCCTGCTCTAGACCAAAAGTAGGTCAAGTAACTTGTGAAGCCCTGCATCAGCCTTGGAGATCTGATAGTGAGAGAGGATAGGGAATGGCAAACCCAAGAGAAGAATTTCTCCTGGTTTGGCCAGAGCTGGCTTACCACCCCCTCCAGTCCCTCCTTTCCTGTGGACCCCACCTTGTCCTGCTTAGTCGTTCAAACACAGGGGCACCTTTGTCTAAGCAAGAGGTAGATTCATCCTGCAACGTCCAACTGAATCAGTCACAATGGAAAGTCTTAGAGGGAAACAATTCAAAGAGAGAGAAGAAAAAATGAAAATCCTAAGGAGATCTCACTTTATCTTAGCCAAAAGGCCGAGAAGTGATCCTAAGGAGATCTCAAAGGGATACTTCATGCCAATTTTGTAACTTCCTGCCTTTTCCCACTGAAAGTTCCATCCTCTCCCTCCCTTGTACCCGACCCACCATGTCCATCTTACTCTCCTGTGGAGGGGGCCGTCAGGCCTGAGTCTAGAGGCTGAACACTTAACAGGTCCTGTGAATTAAAACAGAGTTTTCCATGTGTCCAATGTACTTTGTAGCTATAGTTTGTATTAATTTCTTAAATAGAATTTATTTATTTTTAAAAAGTATTTTATTTATTTGACAGCGAGAGAGAACACAAGCAGGGGAACAGCAGAGGGAGAAGGAGAAGCAGGCTCCTTGCTGAGCAGGGAGCCCAATGCGGGGCTCAATCCCAGGACCCTGGGATCATGACCTGAGCCTAAGGCAGACGCTTAATGACTGAGCCACCCAGGCGCCCCTTAAATAGAATTTAAATTGTCAGATTGACTAGCTGATAGATGAGAAGACTGAGGCCTAGCATTTATTATTACACTTGACCTTAGCCAAAAGGCCGAGAGGCGATTAGCATTTATTATTTTTATTATCTTTAGCTATGATTAGAACTCAAGAAAAAATTAAGCATTCATCAAAGGGAAAAGCAAAAATGCCTTTAACCCATAACCCTTCAGGCCCATGTTTGGGATGCCTAGTGACTTTTTCTAAGGACTGTAAAACAGGTCTGTTGTTTGGGTAATCTATCACTAAATTAAAATCTAAATGTAATTTGGGCGCCTGGGTGGCTCAGATGGTTAGGCATCTGCCTTCGGCTCAGGTCATGATCCCAGGGTCCTGGGATCGAGTCCCGCATCAGGCTCTCTGCTCCTTGGGAGCCTGCTTCTCCCTCTGCCTCTCTCTCTCTCTCTGTCTCTCATGAATAAATAAATAAAATCTTTAAAAAAAAAAAAAATCTAAATGTAATTTAAAATATTTTTTCCCAGAGTCCTGTATCTCCTTCAGTCTCGTCCAATTGATTACAGTTCAAGAATGCTGTTCGTGTTTGCAACATCAGCTACAACTGTAAGCCCTAGACACGGAGTCAAAACTCATCTTTGCATCTCAGCTTAGCATTTTTTTCCTGCCTATTTTACCATGCTTGATATCATTAACAGATGATTAAGATAATGTTCACTTATTCAAAGTAGTGCATATCTTACTTCATAATCAGATTGTAGTATCTGCAAGCCCCATTTAGTGCTGGCTTCCACAACATCCTGTTTGGCAAACTGAACCTATTGACAGTTCCCACGGTTATCTGCATTCATAGTTATTAACTCCCTGGTTAGGCAACATTCCTACTACCAGGGGCCCTGCAGGACGGGCTGCACCCTCTAGTCATGCTCCCTCCCTCCCCACTAAACTTTAGCTACACTAAACTTTCCCTTTTCCCTAAAGGCAACACCACCTCTTTGGCCTTCAGGCTTTTGCCTGTGGAACTATTCTGAGGCAGTTGAATGGAGGGAGAGAAAGGGTGTAGAGCCAGGAGGCAAATGGGTCTTGGATAGAAGGAGAAAAGAGGGGAAATTTGAGATGCTGGTTCTATGTCCTCGACAGCAAGAGGGGGAGAACATCCCTTTTATCTTTCCTTGCATATTAGTTTATCTGATAGTCATTGCTTCAGATAAAAATGGCGTTCCGTGAAAAGTGCCCAGTTCAGCTCACAGCTCATATACGTGCTTCTCCCTGAAAAACCATCCATCTGCAATGTGCTCTACATGTGCTTCCCATTTGGTCACCCAGAACATTGACGAATACATTTTAATTAATGAATATGTATTCAGGTGTGAACTCGTTAATGTATTCAAGAATGAGTTGAGGTTTCATAAAATTAATTTTTACTGCTCCACCAAGAACCTTGGTAAGTGGAAGTCACCTTTGCTCAGCAGTGAAGAACGCCATGGCAGTGGCTAGCTGTTCCTACCCTGACTGGCCCCAGCGGTTTTACCCACCAGGGCGAGTGTCAAGGCAAAGAACGTCTGGAATCATTGTGAAAGTAGTTTTGACCCTTTCCCACTTGAAAGAGTCTGAGGGAGGCTTGCCAGGGGTCCATGAACCACACTTTGAGAACCACTGGTTCCCTAAGGGCAAAAAAAAAAAAAATGAGGTTTCTAAGCTGAAACTCACGTAGGCAGCCACAGCGTGCGTGCGTCTCTGCAGATCTGCTTTGGTTTTACAGACCCTGGGTGTGCGCCAGTTAACTTTTGCCCACAGAGCACGAGCTCTTCAGTGTCTCCTGTATTTGGCCGACAAAGAAACTATAGAATCTCTCTTCAAAAAACCCATAGAAGAAGTGAAGTAAGTAGAATTTTTTTTCATTGTGTTAAGAAATGGGAAACATGGGGCTCCTGGCTGGCTCGGTCAGTAGAGCATGGGACTCTTGATTTGGGGGTCATGCGTTCAAGCCCCAAGTTGGGTGTAGAGCTTACTTTAAAAAGAAAAGAAAAGGAATAGGAAACAGATTGGTTCTTTGGAAGTGTACATTAAGCCCCTTAGTTTGTCAGAGTGCATTAGAATAGCCGTGTAAACCTAGTTCTGCTGCCTTGCATGTCCTTGCCATTTTGGCAAAGGGACATAGGCCTCTGAGAACATCTTGTTTCCCTAGTTTTTTGAGGCATTTAGGAACTGAGTGTTTTCTTGATCTTGTTCACATTGATTTCTTTCTACTGTTATATTCAGTGAATATATTTAGAAGCCTAAAAAATAGACATTTAAAAACAAACAGACCTAATATTGCCCTATGGTGGCTTTTATCTCAAATGTAAATGTGGTCTGTAAGAATGATTCCCATCAGTGCCTCTGTTTTCCAGATCTTACTTGAAATGCATAACTTTTCTGGCGTCATTTGAGACTTTGAATATCCCCATCACATATGAATTATTTTGCAACAGTCCTAAAGAAGGAATGATTAAGGGTCTATGGAAAAACCACAGCCATGAATCCATGGTATGTACTTGGAGCTGTCTGAGGGTGGGTCCGCCATCTTCTCTGATGCGCGTACTCACTCAAATGCCTGAAACCAGAGACACTCTTCATTCCTGAACAAGCCTACTGCTCTGAGACCATTTCTACTTCCCTATCCTGCCAGGTGACATGCAATTTGGAGGGTCCCCTTACGTCTGTCCTTCAACGCCTAGGGCTTGATCCCCACCACCAAGAGGACACTTCTGTAGTCCCTTCCCATGGCCTGTGTGTCCGCATCCAGATGGGGAGAAGAGACTGTCCCTGTGCCGGGGGGGGTTGCTCCTCTTCTCGTTGCTGTGGGAATTCAGTCTCTGAGGCAGTTGGAGCCTAGGGTGAGAAGGTTACAGGGCCAACAGGCAAATTGCTTTTGGGTAGAAAGAAGGCAGCAGGGAAAGTCCAAGATGCCGTTTGAATCCAGGCCAGCAAGAAAGAAAAAGAATAATCTTAGTCTCTTTTTTTCTTTCATTAGAGAGAGAGGGGGCCTTCACTGAAACTAGGCAATAGACACACCTAGATTATAAGCATATTTTGTGTGTAGCCACACTACCTTCTCCACAGGTGGTTTGATTCCCTGGTATCTTGAAGCAGTATGATTATTATTATTTTTTTAATTTATTTTCTGCTTCAGGCAGTCAGATTGGTGACTGAACTTTGTTTGGAGTACAAAATCTATGACCTGCAGCTTTGGAATGGACTCTTGCAGAAGCTTCTTGGCTTCAATATGGTAAGACCCCGTGCCCTGGACTGCAGTCTGTGTGAAAGCTTTTGCACAGCAACTCTTAAGCATTCTGCACGGATCCTTGTGACTGAGCAGATGTGCACTGCAAACATTCACTCTCTTTGGGTTCGTGCCAAACTTAACTTGGTCTTGGGCTAGAGGAAGTGCTAACTCAAAAATGACACAAATTTCGCTGGAAACAAATGGAAGCTTCCCTGACCTTTTCTGGTATTTGTGATGTAGTAAGTGAACTTCCCTGGTCGTTCTCATGGTAGATATATTTTACTGATACTTCTTTTGGAAATTTAAGAATCTGGTATTTCATGTTGAAGTTTTCCATTGTGGTGATTTTCTCAACTGTATTTTTTTCCCCCCAGATTCCTTATCTAAGGAAAGTTTTAACCGCCATCTCTAGTATCCATTCTTTATGGCAGGTATGTAGTTTCCTGAAGTAAATTTTATAGAATTTAATCCTTCGGGGCACCCGGATAGCTCAGTTAAGTGTTGACTTGATTTCGGCTCAGGTCTTGATCTCAGGGTCCTGGGATCGAGCCTCATGGCACACTCTGCACTCAGCAGGGAGTCTGCTTGAGATTCTCTCTCCCTCTGCCTCTCCCCCACTCATGTACACTGTACCCACTTGTGCTCTCTCTCTCTCAAATAAATCTTTAGCAACAACAACAACAACAAAAAGAATTCAATATTTACACTTGATGGCCTTGTGGCTGCCGGGTACATTACTTTGTACCTAATGTACAACCAGCTCCTCAGATAGAACTGATGTCCCGTTAAAATGGCTCCGAGAGGGGTGCCTGGGAGGCTCATTCAGTTAAGCGACTGCCTTCGGCTCAGGTCATGATCCCGGGGTCCTGGGGTTGAGCCCTGCATCGGGCTCCCTGCTCAGCAGGAAGCCTGCTTCTCCCTCTCCCTCTCCCCCTGCTTGTGTTCCTGCTCTTCCTATCCCTCTCGCTGTCAAATAAATAAATAAAATCTTTAAAAACAAACCAATAAAAATGAAATCCTTTCTCTTGTCTGCTTGCCCCTTTCCTGTGGCTCTTACACAATGTCTGGCACACGACAGTATAAGTTTTTTTTCTGAGTTGGATTCTGACGCTTTTTTCCCCCCAAATGAAACAATAATGTATCAGCCAAGGTTGTATAATATGATCCTGAACTATACAGTTATGAAGAAAATTATCCAAGGGTGCCTGGCTGGCTCAGTCAGTACAGCATGCAACTCTTGATCTCAGGGTCATGAGTTTGAGCCCCATGTTGGGTGTAGAGTTTACTTTGAAAAAGAAAGAAAGAAAGAGAGAGAGAAAGAGAGAAAGAAAAAGAAAGGAAGGGAGGAAGGGAAGGAAAGAAAATTATCCTAAAATCTAACCATCTCAAACAGGAAGATACCAATTTATGATTTTGGTCTTAGCATTCAGAACATAAGCTCTAAGCATATAGTTCTGTGATTGCAAAACCAAGAGAGTTCATGATACCCCAGGCATGAATCCCCTAATGTGCTTATCTCCCCAGGTTCCCTACTTCAGCAAAGCTTGGCAGCGTGTGGTTCAGGTACCCCTATTTTCAGGTATTTTTATCTCCCCTGAAACACTGACAGTAGCATTTTATAGCTCTATACCTGTGTGTGTGTGTACATTATTGTTGTTTATTTTCAGCGTCTTGTCCTCTGAGCCCCAGTCAGTTATCAGATTGTTGTGAGAGTCTCGTCGCTGTTCTAGAGTAAGTAAAATACTTGTTTTCCTACCCCAAAAAAGTCATATATATTGCTTATAAAATTCTTTTCTAATAAACCTGTCTTTCAAGTAATTCCTTTTTCTTGGGAAGTTAAGCACACCTCTTGTTTTTAAGGTAAACTGTCTCTCATATTTTTACAATGTCTACTTTCCACATGCAGTGCAGCTAGTAAACGGATAGTCAGTAAGCGTTCTCCATAATTAGTTTTAATGTATGTACAGAGTACTTTTACGACTACCCTAAATCATGCAGTGCTGTCTTGGAGGTTTTGAGTCTTCTGAGAATGTGTCTTTAGGCATGTGTGGGCTTTCAGACATAATCACAGCAGCAAGAAGTACTCTGTGTTCCAGTAGGTAGGTTATTTTATTCCACGAAGAATGCCATGAAAGACTCGAGCTACTCATTACTAAGTGTATGTTATGCCCCAGCATTTTAATGCTTAAAGTCATTGAAACCAGAGTCAGGTAGCAAATTAATTTAATTTAATTAATATTAACAAATCCATGTGTTCTCTCGAAGATGTCCAGTTTCAGATGATCTCGACATGGTTGGAGTAGCCAGGCAGTATGTCCAGTTAGAGCTTCCGGCTTTTGCACTGGCCTGTCTAATGCTTATGCCCCACTCGGAAAAAAGACATCAGCAAATTAAGGTATCTTCGCAAATTATTCCTCTGGGGCTGCCAAAACAGAAGGTCCCATACTGCATGTCCCCTGCAGAAGGGTTGCATTTTCTTTTTACCATACCTGCAAAGCATGAGTACATCAGTCTGAGTGGGGGGTGGTTTGTATGCAGGTTTAGCAGGAGGTAAACCTGAAAGGTAGGTCAGGGTCTATCTGAGAGATGCCTTAAGAGGGATTTGGACCAGGCGCCTGGGTGCCTCAGTCAGTTAAGCGTCTGCCTTTGGCTCAGGTCATGATCCCAGGGTCCTGGGATTGAGCCCCATGTCGGGCTCCCTGCCCAGTGGGGAGCCTGCTTCTCCCTCTCCCACTCCCCCTGCTTGTGTTCCCTCTCTCGCTGTGTGTGTGTCTCTCTCTCTCTCTGTCAAATAAATAAATAAATAAAATCTTTAAAAAAAAAAAAAAAGGTATTTGGACCTTGTTCTTTATCTGGTGGAGGTGGGGGAACATCAGTTTTCCTGGAAGAGGAAAGTGAAATGCTCAGGCCCTGTTTCAGAAGGAACAGTCCATGGGTTTGATCAGAAGAGAGGAGGCAAGAAGGGAAGAGTGGGAAGCCGTTGCACTTGACTGGACGTGGATCACACTGGAGCCTGTGGACGGGCGGGAGAGGCTGGAGGGCACTTGTCCCTGTATCAGGGTGGTGGCAGTGAGAGTGAACTGGAGGGAGCAGCATGACTTAGTGATTGCATGTGGGAGTTAAGAGAGAGGGTTTTGTGTGTGGGTGTCTCACAAGGGAGCCAGGAGCATTTTGAGGACAGAACTTTTAAAAAATAACTCATTCCCTTTACAGTACAGAACAAAGAGAACAAAGCACTTGGGAATGTTTTGCGGGATTTCCCCAAAGGTAGATAAGCCAGTAGATAGAGATCTATATAAAAGAACACGCATATTTTTTTATCTGTCATTTGGTCTATTCATTGCATTTTTTCACAGCCATCTGTGCTTGTCTTTGACTTTGGGTTTTTGTTTTTTGTGTTTTTTTTAAGATTTTATTTATTTATTTGAGAGAGAGAATGAGATAGAGAGAGCATGAGAGGGGGGAGAGGGAGAGGGAGAAGCAGACTCCCCGCCGAGCAGGGAGCCCGATGCGGGACTCGATCCCAGGACTCCAGGATCATGACCTGAGCTGAAGGCAGTCGCTTAACCAACTGAGCCACCCAGGCGCCCCTGGTTTTTTTTTTTTACTATTCATAAACTCATCCATTGATGCTTTTCAAAATTTTATTATTTAAATAGATTCCTTTTGGCACTTAGAATGACAAAATGCTTGTTAAACAGCTCTTGCTGTTACAATAGGTATTTGTAAAATGTCTTCCTTATTTCCATAATTTTTTGTTACATGATAGAGGTGGTTTTTTTCCTATAATAGAAATTCTTAAATATTCCCAATTTAAGAATGAAAACCTTTCAGATTTAACAGAAATTAGTAGTAATAGCACTTTTCCATTAATTGTGTTTTTGATTTTTTTTTTTTCTCTAGAATTTTCTGGGCTCATGCAATCCTCAGATCATTTTACAGCAATTAGAAGAGCATATGAATACTGGCCAGTTGGCAGGATTTTCACATCAAGTAAGAGGCAAAGTTCATTTCCTTTTCACTGAAAAATTTGATCTCAGAGGTAATAATTTTCCCCAAATCAAAATTAAGCTGAAAACTACTATCCGTTTGGCAATATGTAAAATTGTTTTGCTTTTATTAAAACTTCAGTAAATTTTTTAAAAGGCAGAGACCCCTCTCATATGCTACTGTACTCAGTGGAAAATTTATAGCCTTAAATGCTTGTTGTTGTAAGCAGATCTTCCTCATAAAAAGTTCCAAAGTGCTTAACAGCAATTACTTCTTATTGATTTAATCTGTTGCTAAAATGGGCCAAAACATCTCCCCTTCCCCACTTCATTAAAAAAGAGGCTTAGTCACAACACAATGCTAATTTAACTTGTGATTGTAAGAAACTTTTGGGTATTGAATAAGGCCTTGGAATTTCACACATTTTTAATATAACGATACCTGTTATTCTATAGATTAGAAATCTAATTCTGAATAATATCATAAGTAAGAAGGAGTTTGGGATTTTGGCGAAGACAAAATACTTTCAAGTGTTGAAATTGCACATGATGAATACCAACAACATCACTGACCTGGTAAACTATCTGGCAAGTGAATTAAGGTAAGTTAATTAACAAACAAAAACACCTTACTGTAGAATTTCCTTAAAATTTACCTTTATTTTGGGGGTGCCTGGGTGGCTCAGTCGTTAAGCATCTGCCTTCGGCTTGGGTTGTGATCCCAGGGGCTCGATCCCAGGACCCTGGGACCATGACCTGAGCCGAAGGCAGATGCTTAACAACGGAGCCACCGAGGCGCCCCTCACAGTCCTGCTTTACAACCTGAGTTACAGCTTTATTCCTTAGACACTTGCTCAGAGAATTGGGGGCTTTTATGTAATATAATTTTTGCTAAGCTTGATTGTCTAATTTTCCTGCACCCACAAGTTTGGAAATCAGCTTCTTGGGTTAGGGTTGGGAATGAATTTGGAAAGTGAAAAGGAGAAGGGAGAAATGGCTGGTACTAAGGAAGGGCAGCCCAGTCAGGACGGAAGTCTTTCCTGGGCCATCCCCACATCTAGTCTAACTGTGGTGGCCACTTGGGATGCGTCCCTTTCTCGTTACCATGCCATGCATTTCCTTCTGCTTATTTACCACTTGTGATCCAACCAGAGCTACACATTGTCCTTTATAAACATTATTTTTTGAGATATAATCAATATATATACATATAGGCTACACATATTTCAAGTATGCAGTTTGATAAATCTTGACATATATATCCCCCAGCGAAGCCATCACCACAGTCAGGGTAGGAAACATACTTATCACCCCCCCCCCCCCGCCCCGAGAATTTCCTCATGATGCTCTTTTTCTTTCCAATTCCATAGTTTGGATGAGGCTTCAGTCTTTATAACTGAATATGCAAAGCATTGTGGGAAACCTGCAGCACCAGATTCCCTGTGGAATCCTGAAGGTAAAGCCGGCCCACTGTGACTTGGGTTCTAACCTGACACCATTTATATTTAGGGTCTTGACCTTGAACCAACTTGTTCTGGTGTTGTGGAGATAAATGTATTTTTATGTGTAAGTGTGTATATTTTAGTATTTTGCTTTCTGTATAAGGGGGTCATAGACAAGAAATCAAGAGGCCATGACTCTACTCTCTGGGCAGTGTGGCCTCGGGCCAGTCGCTGAGCCTATGCAGGGTCTAGTTTTTGGATCTGGACCACATGGTCTCTTGGGTGCTTTCCAGCATTACAATTCCTCATAAAGTCTTATTTTTCATATTGATGCAAATGAAAAGCTAAATTTCAAAAAGCATTGGTTAATGTTGTGCTTGGGCATTAATTGCTTTTAATTCTTCTCCTTTTTAATTACCAAAAACATATGTTCACTATAGAAAAAAAATTTTTTTGAGGGACACCTGGGTGGCTCAGACGGTGAAGCATCTGCCTTCAGCTTAGGTGTGATCCCAGGGTCCTGGGATCAAGTCCTGCCTCAGGCTTCTTTCTTAGTGGGGAGTCTGCTTCTCCCTCTGCCTGCCATTCCCACTGCTTGTGCTCTCTTTCTCTGACAAATAAGTAAAGTCTTTTTAAAAAAAAGAAAAAATTTTTGTAAGAGCCAAAAACAAAACAATCCCTCATCTCTTGAAATCTCTCACTGTTAATAGGATTTTAGTATACATCCTTCCAAATGTTTTCATGTGTAAAATATGCATATAAATTATTCTTACTCCTATCCTTAACTTAAATATAAGGTAAAATTTTTTACTTCTATTTTTTTTTAAGATTATATTTTTGAGGGGGTGCACCTGGGTGGCACAGTCACTTAGGCATCTGCCTTCGGCTCAGGTCATGATCCCAGGGTCCTGGGATCGAGCCCCGCATCGGGCTCCCTGCTCAGTGAGGAGTCTGCTTCTCCCTCTCCCTCTGCTGCTCCCCTTGCTTGTGCTCTCTCGTTGTGTCTCTCTCTGACAAATAAATAAATAAAATCTTTATTTTAAAAAAAATCTTATTTTTTAAAAAATTTTATTTATTTGTCAGAGAGAGCAAGAGAGCATTTCTGTATAGAAATAATGTTTTTCTCAACGGGAATGCTCCACTAACTGAGCCAGCCAGGCACCCCTAAAATTTTTTACTTTGATCATGTTTTGGTAGTTTAGTAAACCTAATTAAATTATTGTGGGTTTTTTTCCTCCTCCTTTGGTCCGGATCAAGCATGTTAAAATAAGCCTACATTTTGTTAACTTTCATTAATAACTTCCCTTGTTCACTTCCAGTCTGTTGTGTTCAATGGCATAAGATTACTTTTTTTAAAAGGGAGATTATTGATTCAGGAGACAAATTTGTGGCCCTTAAAATGTATCTGTTTTTCTCTAGTCCTATCTGTCTAAATGCCAAATAATTTTATATGTGGATGTTTAGCAATACAGTTAAGTCTTCAATTTTATAGTTTATCATACCGTTTTCTATTGAAAAAACTAAATGACACTAATAAAAATGCTTCTGTGTTTCTTCCCATTTAGATGTTTCTTAGTGGATCATAGTGGATCATCCAACCTTTTTTAAGAACAAAGGGAAGCCTGGAGTCTACTATTAACTAATCATATTTATTACAGTTTTAAAATTGTACAACTGATATATTATAACTTGTCAAATGTTAACCAGCAAATAACAACTAAGGTGCTTCATAGCAGTATGATTATCCCATAAAGAACTCATGTCTTGAATTAATAAACCTTTTCTTTACCAGTCACTGTATAACTTGTGGAGACTATTGATCTTTTGCCCCATATGAAGGAAACTAAATGCAAAAATACTTTGCTCCTGGGGCGCCTGGGTGGCTCAGTCATTAAGCGTCTGCCTTCAGCTCAGGTCATGATCCCAGGGTCCTGGGATCGAGCCTCGCATCGGGCTCCCTGCTCAGCGGGAAGCCTGCTTCTCCTTCTCCCACTCCCCCTGCTTGTGTTCCCTCTTTCACTGTGTCTCTCTCTGTCAAATAAATAAATAAAATCTTAAAAAAAAAAAAATACTTTGCTCCCTCCACAAGATAAACAACTACTTATATCCTGTATCTTCATATATAAATAAGAATAGTGTCAATATTTTTAATGTAATTCTAGTAAATATGTATCTAAGTTTTGCAGCAGACCATATCAATGGCCAGCCTGAAAAATAGAAACCACTCTAGCTATTTCAGGCAGAAAAGGATTGGATGCCAGGAATTGGCTGCAAAGGTGTTAAAAGGACTGAAAAGCAACGGGGAGATGGGTGGGGAGGGGTTGGGCTAGAGAGGCAGAGGGGAAGGGGCTGTTAGCTGAGATCTGGAGGCTGCCGCCCCTGGGTTGGCCCCCCTCCCCCGCTTTGCAACACCGAGCTGGGGGAGCCACTGCCAGGCCACCACCAGAAGAGAAAAGAAGCAGGTCTTTGCTTTTTCCAACCTTCTAATTCTTGTGCCAATGCCAGGAATGACAGAACCAAACCAGAATCCGGTCGGCCGCGGGTCGCAGGCCGTCAGCGGCAGCAGTACCCAGGCTGGCCTGGGGCGGAGGGGGGCAGTGTGGAGCTGAAAGCCCGCTGCCGCCTCCTTGCGCAGAAACCACCGCACCTCTTACTCTGTCTTTGTAGTTTTTCTAGACAGGTGTATAACTTGAATAAATTGAATTTTATAAATGAGAATGAGCTTCCCTTTGTTTTTCCCATTGAGAAAAACATTATTTCTATACAGAAAACTCAGTGTAGCATTGTGATTAAGAACTTGGGTTTGGGGGTAAAACTAGTCTGGATTTGAATCCTGACTCTGTCCCATACTAGCTGCCTGACGATCCTGGACAAGCTCTGTAACTTCTCAAAGCCTTAGTTCCTGCATTTGTAAAACCTCCTAAGGAGATTTAAATGATCCTTCACTTGCTTTGTTCTGGACATTCAGACTACACCAATATTTTTCACGAAGCTTTTTCCTTATTTGGGATTATTTCCTTAAAATGGATTCCCAGGAACAGATTGACCAGATGAAAGGGACTGAAGATCTTAAAAGCCCTAGATGCACCTTGCCAGACTCCCTATGTTTCGAAAGATCTTCACAAATGCCCGTTCCCACCAGGTAAAGACATGTCTGCTTTACCTCTTCTCCCTAACATGGACCAGTCTGACTTTTAAAAACTTTTTGCTAGTATGATAGGTGAAAATGGTATCTCACTATTTACGTCTGTGTTTCTTTGATATTTATGTGATGGAACCTTATGAAAACTATCTGACTGCTTTTGAAAGCAGAGCCTGGAATTGTCTTCTTGGGCATAAATGTGCAAGGAATGGAAGGGGTCAAGTGGTGGCACCAGAAGGTAACAAATGGGAAATGACTCAGCACGCCTGATGGACTCAAGCTAAGGGGCATGATTCTTTCCCACTCTTAACACTGGTTTCAGTGTTTCCAATAAAGTTCTGATCAGCAAAGGGTGAGCTTTAGGTACGCCACAGAAGTAATTTTTTTAAATATAAATATATTTATTTTAAAGATTTTATTTCTTTATTTGAGAGAATGAGATAGAGAGAGAGCATGAGAGGGGGGAGGGTCAGAGGGAGAAGCAGACTCCCCGCTGAGCAGGGAGCCTGATGTGGGACTTGATCCCAGGACTCCAGGATCATGACCTGAGCCGAAGGCAGCCGCTTAACCAACTGAGCCACCCAGGTGCCCCTGAAATATAAATATATTTAACTTTTATTTTCAGTTCATTTGAAGTTCAAAAATACAGTTAGGTAGGATCCTTGTTCTATTTATTATATTTTTATTAGCCTTGATTATTTTCTACTCTTGTCCCCATACAGCCATTCTCCATACTGTTTATCCTTAAAACAAGCCAGATCTTGTCTGTGCCCGCATCACGCTTTCACGGGCTCCTCATTTCACTTAGTACAAGACCCAAGTTGCCAACTGAGGCACACAGGCACCTTTGTTCAAATTAGAAACAGACTCCACTTTAGGAAGATGAGTTATAAAAAGGCTTTCCTCCTAGGGGCGCCTGGGTGGCTCAGTCGTAAAGCGTCTGCCTTTGGCTCAGGTCATGATCCCAGGGTCCTGGGATCAAGCCCCATATCGGGCTCCCTGCTCTGCAGGAAGCCTGCTTCTCCCTCTCCCACTCCCCCTGCTTGTGTTCCCTCTCTCACTGTGTTTCTCTCTGTCAAATAAATAAATAAAATCTTTAAAAAAAAAAAAAAAAGGCTTTCCTCAGGGGTGCCTGGGTAGCTCAGTCGGTTAAGCATCTAACTCTTGATATCGGCTCGGGTCTTGATCTCAGGGTTGTGAGTTCAAGCCCTGTACTGGGCTCCACACAGGGTGTGGAGCCTACATTAAAAATAAATAAATAAATAAATAAAAGGCTCTCCTCTTGGTAGATCTAGTGCAAAAAGGCATTCCCTGGAAACTGTCACATTTGTATAATGCACTGGATTAAAAACTGGATTTCAGGGGCACCTGGGTGGCTCAGTTGGTTCAGCATCTGACTTAAGCTCAGGTTATGATCTCAGGGTCCTGGGATTGAGCCCAGCATGGGGCTCCTCACTCAGCGGGGAGTCTACTTGTCCCTCTCCCTCAGCCACTCTCCCCACTGGTATGTGCAAACGCTCTTTCTCTTTCTCTCTCAAATAAATAAAATCTTAAAAAAAAAAAAAAAAGAAAGAAAGCTGGGTTTCAGTTACAGCTCAGTGCTCCCTGCCATTCATACTGTGGCTTAGAAGGTCCTGCATGATTCAGTCCCACCTACCTTTCTAGCCTGGATGTCTACCACTTTCTCCTTTGACCCGCCTTCCCCACCAGCCCAACCAAAGTTGCCTTCCCCCCACCACCCTAGTCACTTCCTATGGCGTTAACATATTTACTTTTTTTTTTTTTTTAGATTTTATTTATTTTATTTGACAGAGAGAATGAGAGAGAGAGCACATGAGAGGGGGGAGGGTCAGAGGGAGAAGCAGACTCCCTGCCGAGCAGGGAGCCCGATGCGGGACTCGATCCAGGGACTCCAGGATCATGACCTGAGCCAAAGGCAGTTGCTTAACCAACTGAGCCATCCAGGCGCCCCATATTTACTTCTTAAAGCAATCCAAAGTTATCATGGTTGACGGGTTTATTGATTGTCTCACTACTCATCATGTCGTCCCCAAACTCTAAAATAGAGTCTCATATAATAGACTTAATAAATATGTATAAAATAAATTAGCTACCCATTTTCAGGGTAAAATTTCTTCCTTGAATGTATTTTACCCTGAAAATGGGTAGCTAATTTATTAACATGAACATGTGATAGCACCTTGTTATACAGAAAGGGGGAAGTTAGCAACAACTGAATGAGTAAATGTCCTACTATATTCTCATGACTCACACCCAGACTTTCATTCTTCTCTTGCTTTGAACGAGGTGGCTAAGTTTTCATTGCTTTGACTACTTGGAGTAGAGAATTTTGTTAGTGGAATGCTCTCCCTCCCCTCCCTTCTGGATAGAAATGCTGGCCTGGAAAAAGGTAGGATAATCAGTCTTCTTTCTTTTTTTTTTTTTTTTTTAAGATTTTATTTATTTATTTGACAGAGAGTTAGCGAGAGCAGGAACACAAGCGGGGGCAGAGGGAGAGGGAGAAGCAGGCTCCCCACGGAGCAGGGAGCCTGATGCGGGGCTTGATCCCAGGACCCTGGGACCATGACCTGAGCCGAAGGCAGACGCTTAATGACTGAGCCACCCAGGCGCCCCAATCAGTCTTCTTTCTAATGTGTCTTCTGGGGCCCAGAGATTTGGAACCTGTTTGCAGTTTTTATGTTAACACATTGGATCCCTCGAAATGAGTCTAAATGTTAACTCAAAACAGCTAAGTCTTACCAGAAACGCTACAAACCATTAGAGAAAGACAAAGTGGTGGTGGTGTTGTCTGGCGTTCTTTACATGTTTGAAAACACCCAGAAAACAAGAGCATGTGCTTCTAGACCCAACAAAAGCTGAATATTTTCTAAAGGGAAAACAGAAATTTCTAGAGCAATCCTCTCCTTCCAGTGTTCGTAGGACTCAAGAATGTGACCTCGAAACTGACTTTCCCTGGATAACTACTCTTACTGTTTTTTTAAAAAAAGCTTTATTGAGATCTAGTTCAGGTACCGTACAACTCACCCATTTAAAGCGTACAACTCGGGTGTTTCACGGATGTAACCATCATCACAGTCAATCTTAGAATATTTACATCACCTCTAAAAGAAACTCTATATCCTTTAGCTGCTAGCCCTGTACTTCCCCCCGCCAACCCCCTTCTCCAAAGCAACCATCATCTCTATGGATTTACCTATTCTGGACATTTCCTATAAATAGGGTCCTACAATATGTGTCTTTTTGTGCCTGGCTTCTTTCACTTCACATGCTGCTTCCAAAGTTCATCATGGAGTATGTGTCACTGCTTCATTCCTTTTTATGGTAGAATAACGTTCTCTATTATGGACGGACCATATTTTGTCCATTAACGGACATCTGGGTTGTTTCTATTATGAAAAAAATCACTATATCCAATAGCTTTTGAAACATCTTGGTACTTTTAGATTTTTTCAACTTTTTTCCCAATATGTATACCCAGACTTATCCAAGATACCAGATAAGACTCGATGATCATGAGGCATCTGGGTGGCTCAGTCGGTTAAGCGTCTGCCTTCGGCTCGGGTCATGATCCCGGGGTCCTGGGATCGAGCCCCGCATCGGGCTCCCTGCTCAGTGGGGAGCCTGC